ACTCTGGAACTGCTGCGCGAAGCACTCTGCGATTTCCTGATCAGATTTGAACGGTATTGAGGTATCCTTATCTATTAGATTGAAGCTGGCATGCTTTGAGTTTAGCGAACGGCTTATGTATGAGTAGAATTGTTTAGTGTTCGCTAATAAATTGTGTTCATAGTTTCTCCTGGCCGATACTGTGCAGGTTTTTGTTTTGTTGTTTTGGTGTTGATAAATTTGATAATTTTCTTCAGATTTGTTGTTTTGGTAATTATGCCAAAGATTTCGCTTTTGTTGAATTTCTTTGAAAACTTCTTTTGTGAGCCATGGTTTTTGCGGATTAACTTTTTGTGGTTTGTTTGGGATGTGTTTGTTTATTGTGTTTGTTAAAGCCTCGTAGAATTGGTTGAAAGTCAATGGGTTTGCCAGTCTTCTTAATTCCTGTTCAAGTGTTTCATTAACTGCGATGTAATCTGCTTTCCAAAATTGCCTTTTGTAAATTTTTCTGGTTGGTTGAGCAGCTACATTTATTTGTGACTTGGCTGTGATTACAACATGATCACTTTTTCCCAAGGGTGCGTGTGATTTGATATCAAAAACTAACTTTTTCTCATTGGTTATGAGTAGATCAAGTAATGATATCTGGGTGTTGCGGATTCTTGTTGGAAAATTTATTTGCTGATACCCCCTATGGTTTTTATAGCTTTCTAGGAAGGCTTGGCTGCACTGGTCATTTGGATGGACTTCCAGTGTATTCCACTTTATTTCGGGGTAATTGAAGTCTCCCATGATGTAGACAGGTACTTTTAGTGACAATGCATTTTCGATGGTTTTTATGAGTTGTATGTTTTCTACTTCTGTGGTTTTTTCTTTAGGTCTGTACACACATGCAACTAGAATTTTGATTTTGCCAATCAATATTTCTAACCAAATTGATTCAACAGGTTCTATTGTCTTGTATGTTTGAGATATGGTCGCGTGTACATTGTATCCTGCAATGTCACTTTTAACAAAGGCGCAAATTCCGCCACCAGCTGCTCCTCGGTCTTTGCGAAACAGTGAGTAACCAGGTAATTGGATTAAGCTGTCTGGTATTTGCTCAGTTAGCCATGTTTCAGTAATGAGAATGATGCTCGCGTTAGTGCTTTGAATACTTATTTTTAGTTCATCGAGCTTGTTGGTCATGGAGCATAGGTTACTGTACCATAAGGAGACTTCAAACATAGTGGCATGCTTTAGTTTTTTGCGGTTTGTTCGTGGGAGATAACTATCCTAGGGATATTATTGAGATACCTGATCTTCAAGGCAGCCTCTCCTTTTTGTTTGTGTTCTTCCAGTTCTTTCAGGATGTTTTTTAGGTATGCTCTTTGAATGGGTGTTTGATCTGATTTGATATAAACTCCTTCCTCTTTGAGATTGTTTTTGTTTCTGAGCACTTCTCGGGCAGCAGCTATAGAGGGCAGAGTCACACGGATTGGTCTTACTTTACCCTGGGACTGTGCACCCAGTCGATAGACTTTAATGTCAGTTCGCTGAATATTGTTATTTACTGATTTAATCAGTTTGTATGCTTTTTCTGGGTCAGAATCTGGATCATTTTGATTATTGCTTTCTTTTGCTCCGAAGATCAGTACATTTACAGATCGTTTTTGTCGCTCAGCCATTTCGCAAAGTGTTGGCTCAATAATTGAGGTGTGATCCCCTGGTGGGGGTTGATTTTTACAAATAGTTTTTTGTGCCGTGATCTCGGTATTAAGTTCTTCAACTTGCCTTTTTAGGTTTGTAGTGTCGGCAGCCACCTGAGCATAGCTTGGTGCATTTTCATTGATTTGTTTTTTCAGTTCCTTGGTAACCTCTTCCAGACTATCAATTCTCTTGTTGATTGTTGGCAGGTCCTTGACAGTTGCATTGATAGTATCCAGACAGTCTGAGCAAAAGTATTTCAGGCTGTGGGTTGAACATAGCACTCGGATTTCACTTGATGTAAAGTGGTTGCAGTTTTTGCAAAATATTTTTCTGCATAGGTCACAAGCGCATCCAAATAGCTCCTTAATTTCCTTGCTTTTGGAGGTGTCTATGAAGTAGCACTTTCCCTCACAGTTTGAACAAGTCAAAGAACTCATGGTTTTGGGTTATGTTTTTGTTTACCACAATTTTTATGGAAAAATCGCACTCAATCAGAACAACTATGGGTTTTATCGATAGATAAGGAGTTTGTGATTTAAATCAAGTAATAAAAGTTTGTTTGTGTTCACTAATTTGTATATATTCTTGGAAAACTTGCTTGAGAAAAATAAAACACACGACGCACTTTCGAGGTTAGGGTCTATGTAATAATAATAATAATAATAATAATGAAGCCTTTATTCATAATTAAGGTGCGAGGTAGTAATAAATAACAACAAATAAGACGGCGAGATCTAGCTTAGCTATTCTATCTAACCGTCGGTCAAAAAATTATAAAGAAATTTTACCTAATATTATAATAGTAACTAGTAACTAACAGATACTATAAATTATAAATTGTAGAATATAATGTTAAGTACCCAATAATAATTATAAATTTTAAATTATATCATACTATTACATTTCAAATTATATCTACTTAGACCGAGACTCAGATCATATTACACTAACAAAACCGAATGAATTCTAATCATCATTTAATTTTTTTTATCTACAAGCGTTTGGTTATGACATTTTTACATAACCATTTTTCTAGTATTTGAGTTACGTCATGAGATTCATAACACAACTAGTGGTGTTATAGACTAGGTTATGAATTCATAACACAACTAGTGGTGTTATGGACGAGATTATGAGTCTATAACATAACTATTTTTGGTGATTTGACAAATGTCAAAGGTTAAATGAAGGTAGACAACTATTAATGAACAAAAATAATTGGAAAAATATTCTTATTTTTCGCTTTGTAGATAAAACGTTGTACATCACACGTGCGTTTAAACATGACTACATAACTCGTGTAACTAGAACGACTCGGTCTACGACCTCGTCGTTCTAATCCTTCACACTTGTTATTGTAATCATGCTCATAAACGCACTTGTAATATAAATAACTATTTTATCATCATTTAATTTTTTTTTTTTTTTTACTAAAAAAAGTCATGAACAAAGAGTGTAAAAAAACCTTATACGGTTCAGATGCGATGGTGGGGAGTCTTCCGCGTATTTATACGTCTGAAGCAGTCGAGAAATAAATTGTTTTTTTTTTACAAAATATGGCTGTCACTCTAAATTTTTGATGTTGAAAATATAATATTGACAATATACAAGACTCTAGTACTACTTTGCACACATTAAAATGTGCTGCGTTTATATACATCTGGAGCAGTTATTGGATTCGCATATATATACTTTTAGAGCAGCTAAAAGGTTAATAAACAAATTATGATTGATTCTGTTAAATACCTTGGAGAAATCAGTATACACAGCTTATGCACAGCATCGACATCCACCTTAGGTATCCCCTCTCCAAGGCATCTGTCAGTTTACTGTGGTAGATACGTAAATTACTCAGTGTGAACTGACAACTGACCCCTCCCTAAATCCATGTTCCTCATGAATAAGGATTTCTTAACACTCCAGTTTAAGTATGTATGTGTACCGGGTGATTGGAAACGCCAAAAAATTCCAATAATAGTTATTTATGTATCAAGGGTACTAAGTAGATGATTATGCCCTGAGGGCGACATTCTTACAAAGCCGAGGGCCTCTGGCCCGAGGGTTCGTAAGTCGCCCGAGGGTATACATATCTATTAGTACCCGTGGTGCATACAAACTTTTATGTCATACCAGTTGGTTGTGAATAATAAATACCTGGGAAAAAAGTGTCACTTCGCAAATTGTCATCAGTGTGCAAGCATCATCATTTTTTGACAAAAATAATATGTTTATAAGCGTAAATTTATATTTTGTTAATAAAGAATAAGTTAATTGAAAACTGTTTTTTGCGTCTTTATGCCCGCGCGGGCCATAATGAATTATGTAGATGGTATCTAAGGTATAAAAACACAATAATGTATTGGTATGACATAAATGAATTATTGGAATTTTCTGGGATTTATTGGGATTTTTCGACATTCATTGGAATTTTTTTAAATAGTGATGATTCAATCAAAAAATAATTGACTTATCTTCAAATTGAAATTTTTCCTCCAAAAACTACTATGAGGAGAAATGTAAAATTTTGAATTAGTTGTTAGTTAAGGGTTTAATACTTTATCAACATTGTGTCCATCGTTTTAGTAAGAAGGTACCCCCCTTATGATTTTTTTGGAAAACTTTGAAAGGTCATAACTTTTTTTCTATTATAGATAGAAAGCTGAATCTTTCCCTGAATTTTATCCCTTCCAAAGGACTACAATCCCTGAAAATTTCAGTTCATTTGCACTTATAGTTCCTGAGATAAAATCGTGTTAAGCAATTGGGGTGATTTATCAATTTTTTAATTTTTCTGAGTGTCTTTTTTTTCATAGATTTCGGCTTCAAATCTGAGAATAATTTAGTGTATGGAGTTTGGGGGACGTTAACTGACCATTAGGATACAAAATCTCAACAAAAAAAAAATTCAAATTTCATCGTTTTAGTAAGAAGGTACCTTATGATTTAGATTTTGGAAAACTTTGAAAGGTCATAACTTTTTTTCTATTAAAGATATAAAGCTGAATATTATGTATTATTTGGATAAAATCGGAACACTTGGGGCTAGTTTCACAAACAGTGGTAACCACAAGACACTGGTAACCTTCTGGTAACTCACAGTTTAGGTATCTGTTTCATAATGTGTGGTTGAGTGAAAAATGGTCAAGCATCAGAAAACCTAAGTCAATTCTCATTTTGCAAACTTGCGGTTGAACCTCAACTTATAGTTTACAGAGGAAACAATACATTCATTTTCAGACTGAAATGTGGACAGAACACCAGTCCAAAAGGAACCATGCAGTAGTCACTTCCTATTTTATAATACAAAATCATTTTACATAAAAAAATTCTAGGCAAGTTACTGAAGGCAAAATCTATGTCGAAGTAGAACGCGCTCGTCTCACACACAAACTGGCCAAAATCCGCGAAGAAGAGGGCAACGTCCAAGAGGCCGCCAACATAATCCAAGAGCTCCAAGTCGAAACTTACGGCTCAATGGAAAAAAAGGAAAAAGTAGAACTGATTCTGGAGCAAATGCGCTTGTGTTTAGCCAAGCAAGACTACATAAGAACTCAGATAATTTCCAAGAAAATTAACACCAAGTTTTTTGAAGATGATGGAACTCAAGATTTGAAACTTAAGTATTACAGATTGATGATGGAGGTTGATGAGCATGAAGGTTCTTATTTGGCTACTTGTAAGCATTACAGGGCTGTATTGAATACGCCTAGTATTCAAGCTAATCCTGTTGAAAGACAGAATACTGCTAAGGCTGTTGTTTTGTATTTGGTATTGGCAGCTTATGATAATGAACAAGTAAGAATTATTTGTTTTCGGTAAATTTTATGTCTATTCCAGGCTCAGTACCTCAATTTATAGAGAATTTAATACAGTGTATAATTTATTTTGAAATTAAGAAAATCCAAGAGCCTGGAATAGACAAAATATTGTTTTATTCATTTTATAAAATCTTGTTTTCAGTCTGACTTGACACACAGAGTGTTAACAGACAAAGTCCTGGAAGAAATCCCTCTGTATAAATCTTTGCTGAAACTCTTCACCACTCCGGAATTGATCAAATGGTCCGGCATGTGCGAGTTGTACGAAAAAGAATTGAAATCCACTCCAGTATTTAGCGGTGATGAAGAAGCTGCTAAAAGATGGACAAATTTAAAGTAAATTTTATTAATAATTTTTCGTTTAAAATTCAAATAATTCTAATTTTAAGGTCTCGTGTTGTGGAACACAACATCCGAGTCATGGCTAAATATTACACCCGCATCAAGATTGACAGAGTGGCTCAGCTTTTGGATTTATCCCGAGCTGAAACTGAAGAGTTTCTTTCAACAATGGTTGTTAGTAAAACTGTTATTGCTAAAACTGACAGGCCTGCAGGGGTAAATCACATAATTATTAATTTTATTTTATTTATTATTTTTCGTTATTTTAGGTTGTGCACTTTCAGCAAACCAAAGACCCCAGCGATGTGCTCAATGATTGGGCCCAGGATTTGGCTTCTCTGATGCAGCTGGTCAATAAAACCACTCATTTAATTAATAAGGAGGAATGTGTGCACAAGCATTTGCAAGTGGCCAATGCCTGAAAACTTGTATCCTTGATTTTCAATTATATATTAAAAGCTTTGTGTATTTAATAATATTTGGTTGCACATTTTTTGCTAAAAATTGTTGAGTTATTTTCCTAATATTTTCTCTAATAATTCTAATGGCTGATGGCATTAAGTCTCTATTAGGGAATCCAAACCACGTGCCTTTTGCCAACCAGCCGGCATTTTTAAATTTTTGTGTGGTTAGAATACGGGTTGTTACATGTCAACGATGTCGGAAAAGTGTCAGATTTGATAAAGTCTAGTACTCATAACAGCGAAATACGCTGTTTTTTGACATTGCTTCGACAAGTTGACGTTTTATGCGTGAATCAAACGTCAAATTGTCGAAGCAATGTCAAAAAAGAGCGAATTTCGCGGTTATGAGTACTAGGCTTAATCCAGTCAAAAAAAAAACATATGTTTTTGGTTATTAGGCAATGGCAGCAAATATCCAGTTAAGTTCTCCAAAATTTTATAGAGGGCGCGAGTGAACTTGGAGTGCTTCAAATTTTGGCGGGAAATGTCAAAGATTTTAAACTGTTCAAATTGAGAAGGAAAGATGACTGCAATATGAACAATGGACAATGAATGAGTTAAAATATCTTCCAAAGCATTCAGTGGCCCTTAGAGAATATTTTTAAAAGTGTCAGCGTCAGCTTGTCTTGAAATCACACATCAGATTTAACTTTTGAGGTTAAAATTACAATCAATTATTTATGCACCAAAATTTAAATAGCTCCAAGTACAGAAGCGCCCTCTTCAACTCAACTATCAATATTATATGCCATTCAATCCATCTGTCAAAACGGAAAATTCAATGTGACGTGGCGGCCAAGCAAGTTTGTTTTGGATATGTTTTTATGCGTATTTTAAATTATTTTGCATACAGTTTTGCTAACAACTCTGATTTTCATTATTTAATAAAATATTTGACGCCTGAACTATTAATTCCGGCAGAAACTAGATATTTTTTTGTGTTTTTTGGCCCATGTGTGGCCGCCACGCCATATTGAATGTCACGTGGTTTGAATTGCCTAATTGTTTGCCAACCAGGCGCCATTTGGACAGGTCATTGGATTGCCTAATTGGTTCAGGGTGAACATTGCAACTGGACATGTTTACCCTGGAGTTAAAACCTACCAAATGTGAATTGCTATAGAGAAACCGGCCCTAAAAGATGCAAAATAGCTATTTATGTAAGGTTCGTTTCACCAGGGTTCATACTTGACCTTGAAACTTGAAAAAAAAGGTCTCAGATTAATTCATCTGACACATTCAATTTTATTGACAAATTAAAATGAATGACTTTTGGTTTAAGAACCGACGAACGTTTTTGATGTCATTGATTGGTTTCAGTCAATTTTTATTTGTTAAACAAGGAAGGCAAATGCTGGTGGCAAGTACAAACCCTGGTGAAACAAACTTTACCAAGGGGATTATGTAGATTATACAACTCACTGTACATTATTCCCATATGACGCGAGAGGATTAACAAGTGATAATCCTTACCATATGACACGAGAGGCTTAATAAGTGATAATCCTTTTGCACGGTAAAACTGGTGTTTTGACATTTATTGACAAAAAATTTAAATTTTTGATTCATGAAATTATTAATTAATAAAGAATTAAAGTTTGGTTCGTTGTATAACCTTTTGAATACCACTCGATTTTTCAGGATTACCTAATACTTTTACCTGACACTCAACGCGTTACCAGCAACACCACTCTTCCTTCGGAGTCGTGGTGTTGCTGCGTAACGCGTTTCGTGACAGGTAAAAGTATTATCCGGTAATCCTGAAACCTCTTGTGGTATTACATTCGAGAATTTCATACATCTGTCAAAACTGGTATTCCAACAATAAATTGACATGTTTTGATTGTTGATTTGAACCAATCAGATTGTAATTACGCGATAATTTGCTCGTGCAATGGAAATATATTTATAATTTTCGACAAATTTGCACTCATGCATTTTTAACTGAAAAAGGCACGAGTGCACTACGTGCACTCGTGCTCTAAAATGCATTCGGGCAAATTTCCTAAAAATTATCAATAATTTCCATTGCACTAGTTATATTACTATTGATTATAATGCCCGAAGGCGAAACTAGCCCGAGGGCCTTTAGCCCGAAGGATATATTTCGCCTGAAGGGCATTATAATCTTAAAATCCCCGTGGTGCATACAATGCTTTATAGATCATTACGCCCGCAAAAGCGGGCGTTATGAATCAGGTTGTTATAGTTATGTTAACGTATTTCGTTTCCTAGGTATTATAGATCTATGATAGTTAAGTAGAAAATAAAGTATCTATTGTTAACTGTGGAAGGAAAATATTGAAAATTACTTGAAAATTAATTCATATCATATGGTTCATTTTTCTCCCAAAAACCCTTTTCACGTGGCTCCGGTTTAACAAACCGCAACATACCGCTCAAATTCGAGTGGTAGGTATCCATCACGTCACTTTGTAACCGGGTTAGAAAACAGTATGTCTTTTCTCTAACCGTTTTGTAACTCAGTTAGTTAAACCGGAGCCACGCGAAAAGAACTAAAGAGAGGTATAAAACTAGCATGGAAGATTAAGGGGATTGTAAGAAACCAAGGATGATACACACTACAATTACTCTTAGACCTGTGTGTAACAAATCCCCCCTTTTCACCCCTCTTCATCTTACCAGTTGTGACGTAGGCAGCATGTTTTCTTGCCTTGACGTAGGCTGTTTAGGGCGGGTATTATAAAACTGCTTTGACAGTTAACTTCTGGATTTACATGTAATTCAAAAAGTTAACTTCAAGTTAACTGTCAAAGCAGTTTTATAATACCCGCCCTTAAACTTATTAGTTCTTTTCACGTGGCTCCGATTTAACTAACCGGGTTATAAAACGGTTAGAGAAATGACATACCGTTTTCTAACCCGGTTACAAAGTGACGTGATGGATACCTACCACTCGAATTTGAGCGGTATGTTGCGATTTGTTAAACCGGAGCCACGTGAAAAGCGTTATTGGTTTAAAATTCAAAGGTTTAAACAGTTGACGACAGTTATGACGTCGTAAATGGTAACACACCAATATGGCGGCGATTACCAATCCTGTAGGTGTGTATCAGCCTTGGTAAGAAACACTATGTAGAAACAGGGTGACACCAGTGGCGTACACTAGATCGACCAACGAATGCAGATTTATTTATATGGAAATAAACAAAATTATATAATGAGATGACAATTATTATTCAAAAACTGTACATGGGATTAGATTCATACTAACAGGGAAGGTTAAGGGGGTTGTCAGAAACAGGGTGACACCAGTGGCGTACACTCGATCGACCTACGAATTTTTGTCATCTAAATTCGCACTTTTTTGACATTGCTTTGACAATTTGACGTTTTATGTGTGTATCAAACGTCAAATTGTCGAAGCAATGTCAAAAAAAGCGAATTTCGCAGTTATGAGTACTAGCCTTTGAATATAAAACTACAGGAAGGAGCGTTTTCTATCTGTCACTACAGACAACGCAGGGACGGAAACGGCCATATTGAGCCTCCAAGTTTGGACTCAACATTTGTTTTGGTGGTTCCCTGTGTCCTCATTCAAGTGGATGTTTAATGGATTTTAGCGGTTTTAAGTGATAATAAGTACTGGAATTAGTGAGAAAAGAGTGAGTCATAATATTGACAATCATATTTAAATAAATATACGCCAGTGCCAAACCGGAAATACTAGTCGGCCATATGCAACCTCCACATATTTTGGTCGCGCAGATTCGAAGTTATGCTCCTTCCTGTAGTTTTATATTCAAAGGTACTAGCATAGACTTAAATACTACGTACTTCGTAGTATTTAAGTCTATGGTACTAGGCTAATCCCGTCACGTGCCTGTCAAAATTTCGGAGCAAATCGACAAAATAGATGACAAAAATGAAAACAGCCAGCCAATGTACAGAAATTTTATTAAAAGTGATCGTGAATAGTTCAAATTACTTTTGTATGTAAAGATTCAACTGGAATTTCATCACAGTATCGCTATCAATTCTCGATAATCAATGATCCAACTATCGATATTGTTTATTATCGATAAAGTCCTACCCCGGTAAACATTGACGCATACGTGGCTCCATCTATAAGTAGCTTCCAACATTAAAAACGCGTCATACGACACATTCGTGTCCTTCGCGAGGGTTTTAAGTGATAACGTCAAAAATCACAGATTTCGGTCTTGAAAGTCTTTTAAATGACCTCAGCGCGATAGTTTATTTAAATAATTTCGGTCACCCTCTCCAGAAAGTCGCGCTTTATTTTGAAAAATGTTCCAAAGGGTGATTTTGAAAAGCGATGTCGCTAAAGAAGTGGTTAAAAAAGCAGTCAGGGCGCAAAGTTTACGAAATTTAGCCGTACAAACTGTTAGGAATAAGCATTGTCACAGGTAAGTTCATTTTTTTCAAGCATTCATTTGGAAATGCTTACCAATTTATTTGCTTACATAATCTCAAGCACCTCTGACATAAGGACAGGTTTTCTAACCTCACTTTTGCCTTTTAATTTTGTAATTTAAAGGGCCACAATGAATTAATTAGTTTGAAAACAGGCTCATAAGGATACCTATAGGAGGAGGGCTTAAAAAGATAAAGCATGAGAGGTCAATACATATTATATTTCAGAAACTTGTGACCCAAGTATTGTCATGCTGTATGAGTGCATTTACCATAAGTAGTTCAAAGATAATCAAACCAAAAGTAAATAGTTATTTCATTGTCCAGAAAATTAAATAATACTTCTTCTCAATTGCCTATGGCCCCTTGTCATTCAGCAACAGTCAGCCACCTCTTCTGTAACTTTATAGATAGGGGATTCACTGACAAAAAGTCCTTCCTTTCATTTAGGGAAGCCTTTACTCGAGGGGTCTCTCACGGTGGGAAATAGGTGTACAGATACTGACTTAATAATAATAATACAAGAATACGGATAACATTTAACATACTCTTAAAACCTACTTACAATCTCAACAAAGTTGATCAATCACTACATACAGAGAAATACAATTTAGGATGAATGCAGTTTCCTGTCAATTATCATTTTGAATGCCTTAAGACTTATAATGTCTATATCTACATCTGAGGCATAAAGTTTAAATAGATCACACAAATTATAGATCGGAGAACACTTGGGCCCATTGTCACAATGTGCAGTTAACCTTAAGGTAAAGGTAACTTATACTGTAAGGTTACCATAAAAGTACCATTTCACCAAACTTTTGTGACATCTGGTTAAGTTCACCGGAGGTTAAACTTTTTTTCTAGGGTTGGTAACGCGAATAATGCGTTCAGTGTCCGTTTGCAGCAGTGGCCAGTGAAATTGATAAAAAAAAGAATTACATAATATGCCAACTTCCAACTTGTCATTATCAAAGAATGTCATTATATGTGTCATTTATTCCTTTTGATTTGAAAAAAAAATTCTTCAAGCCAAGTACTTCTATACTTTGAATTATACTTGGGTATTCCAAGTGTTAACAAGCAAGGAAATTTGAAACTATTCAGATTGTTATTCAGTGATTTTTTGGAATAAGGCCGCCAGGTTTTTTTGTGCTAAAATAATTGTCTTCCAAACAATGCGTAGTATTTTATTACAATAACTGTTGCTGACCCAAGCGCAGTAGTAATATAGGTAGAATCCCTGGTTTTCTTCAGCACTAAGAACAAGCACTACTATTGTTATTGACTTGAACTTTTGCAGCAGACTGCAGACTGAATAATCGCTCTTTTTTTTTTCAAATTTTAATAGCTAATAATTTAAACATACGTATTTAATTATTCGTTTAAAAGTTTTTTACTACTGCCGTTGTTCCAGATTAATCTAGTTTCTCCAGCGTAGGTTTTTTGTGAAATAAAATTACTAATATTTATGTATACCTACCTACCGCATTTTATTGAAAAATTCAAAAAATTAGGTCCTGGTTCTAAACACATTTTGATACTACAAACTTTGATACTCGCTTTGATACTAGTGTATTCGGCCGGAGTGTAAAATCTAGCAAAAAACTCTTGCCTATCATGTATTTCAAAATAATTGGGCCTCTCTCTAAAAACTCTTGCTTTGGGAGCCCTCTCTCCAACTTCAAATATCCCATAATATAATATCCTATAATATAATCACTATAGTCACTTCGTATGCATTTATATTATCATAATATTCTTGTTTTAAAATATACGAATTTTTCATCAAAAAACATACAGTAGTTGTAGGTTACTTTTTGAGAAAACCTAGGGTAAACCCAAACATGAAGTGCTGGTAAAGTATACTGGCGGTTAACCAAAAGATTTTGGTATACCCGAGATTGTGGAACGAAATTTTACCGGTTAACCCTAATCCGTCAGACATCTTCTGGTTACCGGCGATTGTGATAATGGGCCTTATAAAGATTGGTTCTAGGGTAGGCCAAGTAAAAGACATTTTTACTCCTTGAATTAATACCATTTACAGCAAAAGGAAGCTGTTCCAAAATACCTAGGCAGTCAATATTATTCGTCAAAACCCCATACAGAGTGCATAAGAATATTCCTATCCGCCTTTTCTTCAGTGACAGTCTACTGAACACACCCAACAAATAGTCATTGCTGCAGCCACGCTGGGAATAAACGCCAAACTTTCTGAAGTACAGACATTTCAAGAATTTTCGCTGCACACTTTCTATAATTTCACTCCAATTAGGCAATCCAACCACCTGTCCAAATGGCGTCTGGTTGGCAAACAATAAGCAAAAAACATATGTTTTTATTTTGACGGGATTAAGCCTAGTACTCATAACGGCGAAATTCGTTTTTTTTTGACGTTTGATTCACACATAAAACGTCAAATTGTCGAAGCAATGTCAAGAAACAGCGAATTTCGCTGTTATGAGTACTAGGCTTTATCAATACTGACATTGTTGACATGTAACAACCCGTATTCCAACCTCATAAAAATCTCAAAATGCCAGCTGGTTGGCAAAAATCACGTGGTTTGGATTCCCTAATTATGGTATTGGGGTGACCATATTGCGCTGCCATATTCTAAGATGGCCACACCGAGACTGTCAAAGAGAGATAAGCTAATGACAATACTTAAACATTTTGTGTTTCTTGTAATAAAACTTGATACCTTCTGAGCACTAGAAATTTTTGACAAATTATGTCCCAAGAAAGACAAAGCAGGATCAAAAATAACTCCCAGATCTTTTTGCTCAGACATTCTTTTCAGTATTACTAGGGTCGGCGCAAGCGACTTTGGCGCCCTAGGCAAATATACTGTCTGGCGCCCTAGGCAAATATACTGTCTGCCGCCCCCATCAAGTCAAAAAAACAAATATGCATGGCTTTTTTCGAAAACATGTTTTATAGTTTTATTAATGATTGTACAGGGTGCCCAAGATTCGATGGTTTTGGTGGGTTTCGAGTATTTCTATAAAGGACCCCCACTTGCGAGCCTCGATTTTCAAGAGAAATTTGACTGGTGGAAACCGCATCTCGATATGTCGAGTCGTTTACGAGGGGTTTTTGAAAAGTTTGGAATTTGACAGGGGGCTATACCTTTTTTATATATGAAAATTTGGTCTACTTTTCCCCTTGTAGCTTAAAAACGAATCGAGATATCGAGGTGCGGATTTCACCGGTCAACTTCTCTTGAAAATCGAGGCTCGCAAGTGGTACCCTAAACCCGCTAAAACCATCGAATCTTGGACACCCTGTACATAATATACAGGGTGAGTCCGAAATAAGTGCGCATTTTGTTATGATAGAGTATAGTAGGACAATCACTTTTTGTATAGGAACATGTGTCCGCAAACCTTTCGTTAAGAAAATACAGAGTTTTGACTTTTTGCCTTTAGATTCAAGATGCCTTCAGCGATTTTGTTCAAATTTTCAGAGAGTGTTTGCGATATAATATGATATAAATTTTTTTAACTTCATTGTTTAGTTTCCGGTGTCATGTGAACAGCGTGGGGTAGGTAGGTATATCGAACAACGAGATTAAATCAAATCAAATCAAATCAAATATGCTTTATTGTCAAAAAAACAATTGTTGTAGACAAAGCCAAACTTAGTGCTAAGAATATAAACTATACAAGCATACTATATAAAATAGAATAAAATAATATGTTACAAACAAGTTCAAACCACAAGACAAACACAAAAACGTAAATGTAAAAATCTAAAAATGGTCAAGGAAGTATTCCTCCATGCTATAATATGCCTTTTCAAGCAACAACATTTTTACCTGTTGTCTAAATAATCTGTATGACACTATCTTCCGAATTGACATTGGTAAGTGATTAAAAATCTTTTTGCTTTTATAGAAAATCGAATTTTGAGTCAGTGTCAATTTAGGAATTGGCAAATTTATATTAAAAGATGAGCGGGTATTATTTGTGTTTAAGGAGTGAATGATGGAGGAATGCTTCTTATGCATCAGACAGACAGTTTCCAGTATAATAATTGCTGGAAGAGTCAAAATTCGTTCACTAATAAAATATGGTTTACACGACGTCCTAAAACTAAGCCCGCACAGGCACCTTAGGGCACGCTTCTGTAAAACAAACAAAGAATTCAAAAGATAAGCGGATGAATTACCCCAATAGCATACACCATATCTTAGATGTGACTCAATTAAAGCAAAATACGCATCTCTAGCCACTGCAACATTCAGGTCACTCCTAATTGTTTTTATTGCAAAGCAGCCTGATGCTAGTTTCGAGCACAGCTGCTCAATGTGTTTGTCAAACCCTAACCTATCGTCGATAACTAAGCCTAAAAATTTATTATAATTTGTCTTCGTGACTGGCTGAGAGTCTAAGCAAATATCATTTAACATACACTTAAAATTTAAAATATTTGTCTTTGATACATTAAAAGACAAACAGTTGCTGTCACACCATCTTTTCACACTAGCCAGATCCTGGGTTATCATTTCACTAAGATCATGTGGATCCTTGCTATGCCAAAGCAGAGTAGTGTCATCGGCAAAGGATGTACCAAACCATACATTGATTTTAATTTTTTTATCTCGATAACGTCGCATCAAACAAGAAAAACTCGGGATACCTTTTTTGTTTAAAATTAAACAAGGAATCAAAAAATAATTTCAAATTTTTTAAAAAGCCCAGAGGTGTATCACTTTTTTCTTTAAAAAAAATAAGAGTCGCTCTAGATCCGGTCCTGGAAAAGTGGAACTCAAACGGATTTTTTAGAAAAATGCTTGAGAACATTGCAAAAACTCTCCGAATATTTGAACTAAATCGCTTAAGACATTTTGAATTTAAAGACAAAAAGTTAAAATTTTCCGAAAATTTCAACACTTTGTATTTTCTCAACGAGACGTTTGCGGACACATGTACCCATGCAAAAAGTGATCGTCCTACTGTACTCTATCTATCATAACAAAACGCGCACTTATTTCAGACTCACCCCGTAGGTATACCTGACTTACAAAATATATAGATTATAGAATATCTGCACAAAAAAAATATATACACAAATGCCCGCGCCTGCGGAGGCGGAAAAATCCTGTTCTGGCGCCACGCCCAAAACGTTAATTTTGTGCCAAAAATATTCACAGCATAAAATAAGTAGTTTTTGGGCGCCCGCCACCCGACTAGCAAAAACAGGTATAGCAGTATGTGCTCATAAGAAGGGCAAAGGGCAAAGTTTGTGTTTGGGTTTGCAAGAGAAATGGAATCCTGAATATTATGAAGAAAAGCAGAATTCAAAAGATTTTTTTTTTGTTGCCTTTTTGCCGCCCCTTTAAGTTTGCCGCCCTAGGCGGCTGCCTAGTTCGCCTAATGGTTGCGCCGACCCTGAGTATTACATTACCTACAGAATAATCATAAATGACGGGATTTTAATTGCGTGTGAATGACATGCATACAGATTTATCAAGGTTCAACTTGAAACTATTCTCAGAACACAATGCGACAATATCAGACACCTCTCGCAACTTGAAAAAACAACTTCAAATCATCAGCAAAACCAAGTGACTCAACATTCCTTACTCCCAAAATACCCTGTTAAATGCGATCAAAAAGAAAAGTGGACCCAGGTTTGACCCCTGTGGAATACCTGATAAAAACTATCGATTTACAGCCCTCAATTTCAACATACTGACATCGTTTACTTCGGTCAGTACCCAAGTATGAATGAATCAAATCGATTATAATTTGAGGTACATCCATATCCCCCAGGCTTCTCAAAATTATGCCATGCCGGACTTTATCGAAAGCCTTTTCTAAATCAGTGTATACAACATCAACTTGTGATTTTCTATTCAACGCTTCATGAATGAACTGTGAGAAGGTAGCGAGATGCGTAAATGTAGACCTCTTTGGTAAAAAACCATGTTGATTTAAGGCTATTTTATCCTTGACCTCAGCAAAGAGCATGTTGAAGATAATAATTTCAAAAATTTTAGAAATTGCACAGACATTGGTTATTGGGGTATAGTTTTTTGTCTTGTGTAGCTAGGACCACCCTTATGGACAGGGATAACCTTGCTGCATTTTAAAATTTCCGGAAAAATGAAACTATTTATTTCGAGATGTCATTTTAATTAGAATGTCTACACTAGAGATAAAAAGAAATAAAATGATAGGGAACTCTCTTTTTCAGATCATTATTATCAAATACACAAACCCAACTCCTAAAACCATCGAAATATGCCGAAGACAGTCTCATCAGGTATTACTCAAGCGATCTACCGACACACCATCGAGTAGCATTACCGGCCCTGTCTCCCACCATGGAAATGGGCACAATAGTCAGCTGGGAGAAAAAAGAGGGCGACAAACTAAATGAAGGCGACCTCCTGGCCGAAATCGAAACGGACAAAGCCACAATGGGCTTTGAGACTCCCGAGGAAGGCTATTTGGCTAAAATTTTAATCGCGGCCGGCACCAAGGACGTGCCAATAGGCAAATTAGTTTGTATTATTGTGGAAAACGAGGCAGACGTTGCAGCGTTCAAGGATTTTAAAGACGACGCTTCTCCTGTCAAAGCTGCTGCCCCTACAGTTGTTGCTCCTTCTCCTCAGGCACCTACACCTGTAGCACCACCACCAGTAGCAGCACCACCAGCAGGTAATTAAAAACTACTTAATAAAAGTTTGAATAGAAGTTGTTGTTTTGTCCCTAGTAGAACAAGGTGTAGCTTCCAGTGGACGAGTTTATGCAAGCCCCATGGCCAAAAGACTGGCAGAGCAAAGAAACATAAGATTACAAGGCAAAGGTACGGGGTTATTTGGTGGCATTACCTCGTCAGATTTAGGAGGTAAAAATCTAGACAAAATAATTGTCAATAAGTATTTACAATAACACATTAACAATAATTATAAGTGCATTTTAATTTGTTTCAGCTCAAACAGCAACAGCTGCAGCTCCACCAAAACCAGCAGCAGTGTCGTCTCATGCAGCTCCCCCGACCGCTGGTGCTTTCACTGACATTCCAGTGTCCGGTATGCGTAAAACAATAGCCAAACGTTTGTTGGAGTCCAAACAACAAATTCCCCACTATTATCTCACTCAGGAAGTCAACGTGGACGCGCTACTGAAAGTGCGCTCCAAGTTTAACAAAAAACTAGAAAAATCTGGACTCAAACTTAGCGTTAATGATTTTGTTATTAAGGCTACAGCTGTAGCATCGCAAAAAGTAACTTATAAATCAATTTATTTCAACTGTCACTTATAGTAATTTTTTTTTAGGTTCCTGAAGCAAATTCCCATTGGCTAGATTCTGTAATAAGACAATACAAAAATGTAGACGTAAGTGTAGCTGTATCGACAGATAAGGGCCTAATTACTCCTATAATTTGGGAGGCCAACAGTAAAGGTGTTATTCAAATTAGTAAAGCTGTTAAGGAGTTGGCGGCTAAGGCTCGAGATGGCAAATTGCAACCTCAAGAATTTCAAGGTGAGATTTTTTTGAATTCAATTTGACCATTTTCTGTTCTAATTTACACAGTGCTACAAAATATTGTGAAGAAGCTTCGAGAGATATTTCAATCAATACATTGTATTTCTAGGTGGTACCATCAGTGTATCAAACTTGGGAATGTTCGGAACCAACCAGTTCTGTGCCATAATAAACCCGCCCCAAAGTTGTATTTTGGCCATCGGTACCACAGTGACCCGATTAATTCCCGATGAAACCAAAGAAAGAGGTTTCAGGGAGGCGCAGTACCTCACAGTAACACTCAGTGCCGATCACAGAGTGGTAGACGGCGCTGTTGGCGCTAGGTGGTTGTCCGCTTTCAAAGAAGCTATAGAAGACCCGGTTGCCATGATTTTGTGAGACTTTTTATAGGGGAAAACAGGAATTCAAACTTTTGAGTGGCAACAGGGGCGCCACCTAAAACATTTAAAATAATATATTTTTTTTTGTGCGTCTTTATATAATTTATTTTAGTTTATGGATTTTTTTTTTGTTATAAAAACAACATTTTCAAGTTTCACTCAGGCATGTAAGGGGAGTTGAGAGGGGTTTTTGCATTTTTTTTACATTTTAAGGCCCATCATTTTTCATGGAAATGTTGTTTTTACACGCGGCTCTAAAACAAAAATAAATAAATATTTATGTTGATTTTATGTAAATAATAATAATATATAAAGTTATTGAAATGTTTAATTTCCCCAATATTAAATTTTCCAATCTTATATTCACATTACCTATAGCTCTGTTCCAAGTTCCAACCGTCATGAGAACCGTTCCAGAACCAGTAATTTCCAGTTGCCCACTTATTTTCCGATAAATTGAACGTTTATCCTACTTAACAAATGAATTGATCTACTGGAAATTACCCTGCTAGTACGGTTCTCATGTAGGTTGGAACCAAGGTTGTTTGAGAAAGGTAGGTTGCTTGATAACTGTATGACGTCATCTGGGTTGCCTCGTTATAATACAAATCTCCATAATGCGTCATAAAGTCACCCATTACCAGGCCACCTATTAACTTCAGGATTCTTGGGTTAGAACCATCCAGAACCAATGTAAGAACGGCTTGCAAAGCTTATATGTAACAACCTGAACATAGATGGCGCCACTTTTACTCTAAGTTACAGTGACTTTATTACCACAGTGGCGACAATTGCGGTCTCATTTTTGATTGGTTCAAAAATCCCATATGTTTTCTAAGTAAGAAACTTATCGGTGGCAACGTCGCTTTCATTTCAAAATCATGTAACTCCCAATTAAATGTTTTGCATACCTTTTATTTTAATTAATATTGTAATTTAATAAATATTCAAGTTGATTATATATAAATAGCTATAATTTTCCCTAATATGAAATCATCCAATCCTAGACTATAATTAGTTTAACTAACTGAACATAGATGGCGCCACTTTAAACTTGAAAAATTTATCTCTGGCAACGTCGCATTTGCTTGTCAACAACATGTGAAAATCTTAACCTAACTTTTGATTAAATGTTTTGTATACGTTTTTTCTTAAATTATTATTGCAATTTCAATAATTATTATTAATTGTTAACTATGAGTATGACAACGCCGCCAGCGGCCCTAGTGAACCGTAACAAAAAACATTTCTTAGGGGTACCAGCGCCCCTCGGTTATGTAGCTGGTGTTGGTAGAGGGTAAGTTTGAAAACAAGTTGGGGTTCTTTGAAATTTGCTAATTTTTATTGTTTTTAGGGCTACTGGGTTCACTACTCGGTCGGATATTGGTCCTGCAAGGGATGCCAACGATGTATCGTAAGTTTTAGTACAGTAAAAAGTCTTGAAACAGGTTAATTGGGCTAATTTTTTTAGAGATGATCGTCATGCCCCTCCAGCTGCTAAAAGAACGAAAAAGAAAGACGAGGAAGAGGAAAAAGAGGTAACAAGAGAAAAAAATGGCTTGATTTTGACTCTCATAGGCGCCAGCTTTCCAAAATCTGTATGGGTGCTTAGCCAAAGGTGGCATAAAATAGCTGAAGATATATTTTTGGTGTCAAATAGTAAATATTTCCTAACTAGTGCGGAAAGTGTCACTCTCAGAGACTTTCCGCACGAGTTGGCAACCTGTAAGTACCTGTATACCTACCAATATTAGGTATTCTACTTTTCCGCACTAGTGCGGAAAAGGGATAATTTCATGATCCAAAAGATATTATACACAACACAGGTTTGTTCATCTGTCAGGTATTTTTCAGATCATAATAGGCATTTTCGGAAATGGTGTTCCGATTAACCCGATCATCAACTAATTAAAATTGTCTTTTTTCAATAGCGTTCATTGGTGATTGGGTTAATCAGATCAGCGTTTCTGAAAATCTTTATTATGTAGTGCTGCTTACGTCAACGGTTTTTTGATGTGAAACTTTCATGCGGCGGACTGGTATTTGGACAATGGAGAGTGATTCGAAAAACGCGTGATGGGCAAAGGACCCCGCACATTTCTTATGGAAAAGTGATCTATGTGGAATTTTGCTGAATTTTTGATATTGTATATAGGGAGTCGTCCTTAACAAAAGTGATCATTGCGTTAATGTTCAATATCCAACAGTTTTCAAGATATCAATTAAAAACTTTTTTAATAATACTCTTCAGTATGACGTCACTCACAGCAAGGATCCTTTTCACTCTTGACTTTGACTTTACTCTTCTCCTTTTAACATTAAGAAAAGAAAAAGATAGCGACAGCGATTAGTGACAAATAGGTAGGTATGCAAACAACACCTAGCTCCTGCCGCAATCGTCAACTTCATGTCATGATGTGTGTCATATAACGATTTCATTTGTACATGTTGTTGTTTTTTTTTATTTCCTAAATGTTGAAAGGAGAAGAGTATAAGTATAGGTAGTCAAAGTCAAAAGTGAAAAGGATAGTTATAATTTTCGGTGCTGTGAGCATACTGGTGACGTCATACTGAAGATTATCAAATTAAAAAAGTTTTTAATTGATATCTTGAAAACTGTTGGGTATTGAACATTAGCGCAATGATCACTTTTGTTAAGGACGACTCCCTATACACAATATCAGAAATTCAGCAAAATTCCACATAGATCACTTTTCCATAAGAAATGTGCGGGGTCCTTTCGTTACGAGAGAGAAAAGTAACACAAAGGAATGGAGAAAGACAGGCAATGATAGCCGACGAACGATTGACACAAAACAAAGATTATAAACTATTATTGTCTGATACTCTCGTGACATCACTACAAGTGCGCGTTTTCCTCCGTATTTATACCCCGATTCATCACGTTAAGTCTAAAAGTTGTGTGACGAGGGGATAGTTTTCAAGAAGTTTCACTTCTACTATGTGTACGGTACTGTACAGGGTGGGCCAATTTGGACACTTCCTTATGGAAACACCCTTTATTTTTAGAGATAGAAAAAAATGAACCCCCCACTCTGAGGCTCAAATTTCATGAAATTTTGATTGGTGCAAACCGCTTTTTGATATCTTCAACCGTTTAGCCGCTAAAGGGCGATTCTCGATTTTGAGCAATATTGTGAACCCTTCATAACTTTTTTGTTTATGAAAATAATTGATTTCCGTAAAAACTTTCTGGAAGCACTTTTTAAAACAGAATTCAGGGACGTTCTCGGTTTTTTTCTATTTGGCGCCGATTTTGAGATATTGACCAAAGTCTGATTTTTTTCAATGGGACACCCTTTATATCGAGCTTTATATTAGGGCTGTTCGCACAGCAATCACAAACCAGTCAGAGCGAACTTCATTGGTTGAAAACAATCAGAAACAGTCAGAAAACTAGTTTCAACCAATGAAATTCGCTCTGACTGATTTGTGATTTCTCTGCGAACAGACCTAATAATATCCACCCATAATATATTCAGTATGCATAGCACCCATGGAGTCGGCGCCTATGTTGACTCTGCACACATTGAATATCCTTATAAGAAATTTTCACTGAATCTTATCTCAATAAAGGGATTATAATCCCTGAAAATTTCAACTCGTTTGGAATTACAATTCTTAAGATAAAATCGCGTTTAGCAATGTGGGATGAATTTCTCGATTTTCCAATTTTCCTGTCGTCCTTTTTTCCTTATTAATCCACCCATATTCAAACAAATTCCTTGCAGGAAGAAGAAGACCTCAACGATTCCAACTACGACGATTTCAACGGCTACGGAGGCTCCCTTTTTTCCAAAGACCCCTACGATAAAGACGACGCAGAAGCCGATGCAATTTATGAGGCAATCGACAAACGCATGGACGAAAAACGCAAAGAATACCGTGAAAAACGCCTCAGAGAAGAACTGGAAAGGTACCGTCAAGAAAGACCTAAAATCCAGCAGCAATTCTCCGATTTAAAAAGAGATTTAGTGCAAGTGTCTGCCGACGAGTGGCGCCAAATACCTGAAGTGGGTGATGCGAGAAACAAAAAGCAACGCAACCCTAGGGCGGAAAAGTTTACTCCGTTACCTGACAGCGTTTTATCTAGGAATTTAGGCGGCGAAGCATCCAACAGCATCGATCCAAATTCGGGCCTTGCGAGCATGGTACCAGGCTCAGCAACACCCGGAATGCTAACTCCAACAGGCGACATGGATTTAAGGAAAATCGGCCAAGCCAGAAACACTTTAATGAATGTTAAATTATCGCAAGTTTCTGATTCGGTTACCGGACAAACTGTTGTAGACCCAAAAGGCTATCTAACTGATTTACAGTCAATGATTCCCACTTATGGAGGAGACATAAACGATATTAAAAAAGCCCGTCTGTTGCTGAAAAGTGTAAGAGAGACTAATCCAAATCATCCACCTGCATGGGTTGCTAGTGCCCGTTTGGAAGAGGTCACTGGAAAAGTGCAAGCTGCCAGGAATTTGATTATGAAAGGCTGCGAAGTTAATCCTCAAAGTGAAGACTTATGGCTGGAAGCTGCCCGATTGAATCCTCAAGACACTTCCAAAGCTGTAATAGCTCAAGCTGCTAGACACATACCAACATCTGTAAGAATTTTGATTTGTCTAAAATTTGTTTTATTTAAATGCAAAAATTTCAGGTAAGGATTTGGATTAAAGCTGCCGATTTGGAGCCGGAAACCAAAGCAAAAAGACGCGTCTTTAGGAAGGCCTTGGAGCATATTCCCAATTCTGTTAGGCTGTGGAAGGCGGCAGTTGAATTGGAGAATCCGGAAGATGCTAGGATTTTATTGTCCAGGTAAGAATTAATGCAAATTGTATCAATATATTATAAAATTATTAATTATTGTAGGGCTGTAGAATGTTGTTCAACTGCTGTAGAGCTTTGGCTAGCATTGGCCAGGTTGGAAACATATGAAAACGCCAGGAAAGTGCTGAACAAGGCCAGAGAAAATATACCGACTGACAAGCAAATTTGGACTACTGCTGCCAAACTAGAAGAGGCCAATGGCAATCATCATATGGTTGAAAAGATTATTGAGAGAGCTATTAGTTCCTTGAGGTAATATTATTGTCAATTAGTGATGTAAAATTCCCGTAACATTCAATGACGTCACTGAGACCTTGTATTCGCAATAATCTCGCAGTTTTATAAAATTCTTCTGGAAATTTCGCTTGTGCATATTTAACTGGAAATTTCCCTTGTGCAAATTACACTGGAAATTTTGCATACAAATTGTCAAAATTAACAAGTGGAAATTTTTGGAAATATCCCGGGGAAAATTTCCAGAATTGTCATTTTTGACATTGATGCCCGCTTTTCCATTTAAAACGTATTGATGTCAGAAATCTGTCAAAATGTATTTTTTTGACAAACGCAATTTAAATGGGAAAGATCAATAACAATCAGCATCAATAGGAAAATTCGACACAACGTACTAAATAAACTTCAAACTCGGGAAAGGATAACGCACACCTTACATGGGATTTTTGGGCTCTATGGACTTTGCCCGTTTTTTTATATGTTGTAGAAGATTTAATTCTGAACAATCTTTAAATGGGAAGAAAACTTGTAGGTATTACGGTTTTTGAGATAATCAGGTCTATGATGTATCCGGTCCTGTTATTTTAACGGCTGTGTTATGGCTCAATATCTGTTGCTGTCTTTATTTTGACGTATAGAATAAACAGTGACAGATAACTTAACGTCGCTGTTAAAATAACAGAGAATGATACATCATAGGCCTGAATGAGCGTTGAAAGATGAACTTTTTTGCGACTTTTTGTGTGGAGAGTATACGAGATACTGGTGCTGCTGGTGTTTATCAGTCAAAATATTGACAGGTTCACATATTTTACGTCATTTAAAGATTAATGTCAACGATGTCAACTCAGGTTAAGGCCAGGATCGCACTGGGGTCAATGTTGGCGCCAGTGCGGTCCCGGCCTTAGCCTATGTTGACATTTGTTAGTGACGTGAAATATGTCGACCTGCCAAATTTTTGACTGATAAATACCAGTTTTTCGTATACTCTCCACACATCTATCAACAGTCACCAATCTATGTACTTTGACAGAGGCAGCGGCTGGTGCCATAAATGGTAAGGAACAGCTGGATGTTATTGTAACAGACTTTGCAAAGGCCTTTGATAAAGTGGATCATGGGCTTCTTGTCACCAAACTGGGTAGATTTGGGTTTTCTTTAAGTGCATGTAAATTAATGGAATCTTATCTCCTCTCTAGAAACCAACAGGTTAAAGTTGGTGGGTTTTTGTCAAGAAAATATCTTTCTACATTTGGGGTACCACAAGGTAGCAATCTAGGGCCCCTCCTGTTTGCCATATTTGTAAATGACTTAACCAACTGTATTGAATTTTCAGAATGTCTCTTGTTCGCTGATGATTTTAGGGTATATAAATGTATATCCAACCCTGTAGATTGCAACCTACTTCAAAAAGATATAAATTCTGTTGCTCAGTGGTTCACAGAGAATAAAATGCCTTTAAATACAAACAAATGTCTAACTATGTCCTTTACACGCAGGTTCAATTATCTTAGACATGATTATTCTCTCAATAATCAGGTGCTGAGTAGAAAAGATGAATGTAGGGATCTCGGAGTACAATTACAGGCAAACTTAAAATATAACCTACACTACGAAAACATTACAAATAGGGCATATAAACTGGCTTTATAATTAGGAATACCAAGTACTTTAAAAACTTTAAATCAATTATATATCTGTATAATGCTCTGGTTCGGCCACACTTGGAATATGCATCCGTCATTTGGTTGCCTCAAACAGAAACTCACAATAATATGATTGAAAAAGTGGTTTCTGAGATATTTGTATGTTAGGAAACACAATATATACCCCTTTAGAATCTCATATAACAGCATGTTAGAGGAGTTTGGCTTGGTTAAGTTAAGTAAAAGACGTATGATTAATGCTATAATGTTTATTTATTGTATAGTTAACAATACCAAATATAAAAATTCTTCCTTTATTAATAAGGTTGGGTTTTTGGTTCCTAAGATCAATTTAAGAATAAGAAATACACAACTGTTCCTTTATGCACCATTAAGCTGTTCGCCTATAAACAGAATGCTACATGAATGTAATGTCTTGATACAGGAAAGTAATATAGATTTTTTTAATGATAATCTTAGAAACATAAAAAATACAATTCTCACTGTAGAAAACAATATTTAGGAGTAACCCAAATATCTATAACTTAAGGTGGATAGTTCGTACCTATATATATGTTCTAATTATGTCTGTGATTATGTCATTCTGTGTTTAGTATTATTATGTTATTTTTAGTATGCAAGTTGTTAGTATTTTTAATTTTGTTGTTTTTTTTTTCTCTCTCATACCCAATAAGCACTCCTACATGTAATTACTATTTATAGTGTTTGTACGAGTTTTAAATAAATAAATAATAAATAAATAAATAAAAAGTTGTAAAAAAGTTCATCTTTCAACGCTCATATCTCAAAAACCGTAATACCTACAAGATTTCGTCCCATTGAAAGATTGTCCAGAATTAAATCCTCCACAACGTATCAAAAAATGGGCAAAATCCATAGAGCCCAAAAATCCTATGTTAGGTGTGCGTTATCCTTTTCTATCAAAATATAACACGTTTTTTCAAGCGCTATGCACTCATGATTTTGTTAAAAAATTGGCTTCAGACAAAATTTTCAAAAATTTCCGGAAATATTTTAGGCACTGGAAAGTTCTTGGAAATATTCTCGAAAGTTCTCAGAAATATTCTCGAAAATTCTCGGAAATATTCTTTTGAAAGTTTCCAGGAATATTTCCATTCAGGAGAACGTTTCCCTTTTTTATCGGCGAATATTCTCGGAAATTTCCCAATGTTCGCGAATATTCGCATGGAATATTCTCGATTCACATCGCTATTGTCAATACATACAATAACAAAAAAATTTATATATTTTGTAGTTCAAACGGGGTAGAAATCAACAGAGAACAATGGCTGAAAGAAGCAATTGAGAGCGAAAAAGGAGGCCACATTCACTGTTGCAGGGCCATTGTCAAAGTGATCATTGGTTACGGAGTGGAAACGGAAGACCAGAAACATACTTGGATGGAAGATGCTGAAAATGTAAATAAAATTTCTCAATTTTTCCAGGTTTTAATGAATAATTTTTAGTTTACAAATCAAGGTGCCTACGAATGCGCCAGAGCAGTTTACAGCATATCACTGGCCACTTTTCCCGGCAAAAAATCCATCTGGCTACGAGCTGCTTATTTGGAAAAGAACCACGGTACCCGAGAAAGTTTAGAGGCCCTGTTGCAAAGAGCCGTTGCCCATTGTCCCAAAAGCGAAGTTTTGTGGTTAATGGGCGCCAAAAGTAAATGGTTGGCCGGCGATGTGCCTGCGGCGAGAGGCATTTTATCATTAGCTTTCCAGGCCAATCCTAATAGCGAAGAAATTTGGTTGGCCGCTGTCAAGTTGGAATCAGAAAATAAGGAGTATGAGAGGGCGAGGAGGCTGTTGGCCAAAGCTAGAGGTAATTTGATTGGCTATATGTGTTATTTACATATTTTCTAATTTATCGAAGATTGATATTTGAAATTTTAGTATGATGAGCCTCTAACTTTCCTCTTTTTCTCCCGGAAATGTCACAATTTTCTTTTTAGAAAAAAATTGGTGCGGTTAGGTCAGGACTCCGAGGCGACCATTTAATGTCACCACTCCTTTGTGATCCGTTTTCAAAAAATGCTCGCACGCAAAACGAACGTTGACGACCATAATAATATGACGACTTGATGACTGTCAAAAATTAAAAATTTCCACTCCCTCCCTTTATTTACGACTGACTTACTCTCGGAATAGTTGGGTCGTTTTGAGACACCCTGTATTTTCCTTCAGTTTAAATATTGAATTTTTCTCTAAAATTATTCACTTTTTTAGGTTCTGCTCCAACACCAAGGGTGATGATGAAAAGTGCAAAGCTAGAGTGGTCCCTAAACGATCTGGATGCAGCAATCACTTTACTCGATGAAGCAATTAAGGCTTTTCCAGACTTTCCAAAACTGTGGATGATGTATGGGCAAATATACGAACAAAGAAAAGACCTCACCAAAGCATTTGAAGCATACAATTCTGGAGTATGTCAACTACTTATTTACTTGTAAATTTTTTATTCATTAATTAATTCTAGATTAAGAAAGCTCCAAATTCTATACCGTTATGGCTCCAACTGTCCCGTCTAGAAGAAAAACGCGGCCTCCTGATAAAAGCTCGCTCGGTTTTGGAAAAAGCACGCCTGAAAAATCCCAAAAACGACCAATTGTGGTTGGAGGCAATTCGAGTCGAACTAAGAGCCGGAATGAAGGAAATCGCCAATTCAATGATGGCCAAAGCATTGCAAGAGTGTCCCAACTCAGGCGCTTTGTGGGCCGAAAGTATTTTCATGGAACCCAGACCACAAAGAAAGACAAAATCGGTAAAAATCTTCCATTTTTCTTATTGTCAAGTTTGAACACATTATTATTATCACAGGTTGATGCATTGAAAAAATGCGAACACGACCCACAAGTCCTGCTAGCTGTCAGCAAACTGTTTTGGTCCGAAAGAAAAGTCAACAAGTGCAGAGAGTGGTTCCAAAGAGCCCTAAAATTGGATCCAGATTTGGGGGACGCCTGGGCCAGTTGGTACCGTTTCGAGCAACTGCACGGTACCAAAGAAAAACAGCAAGAGGTCAAAGAGAGGTGCTTGGCCGCCGAACCACACCACGGCGAATTGTGGTGTACGATTTCAAAGGATATTAGAAATGTCGGATGGAATACTGAACAAACTTTGTTAGCTGTGGCCAAAGAAGTACCCATACCTATTTAAGATTAGTTTAAGGTAATTGATTATTATTAAAAAATAAAAGGCAAATTTTTAAAAAATACACAATGTATTTTTTACACAAAAAGACCTGTACATGTTGTTTTTAAGTAAGAAATATTACATAAATACACAAAAACCTTAGAAAAAATACAATATTATAGAATTTGCAAACACAAAAAAATAAAATAAACAGAGCTCTTATGGCTTAGAGCAGGTAAAGTTTCTACTCCTTATCTCCATAGTACACTGATTATACCTGCTCTAAGTATTATGGAATGTGAATACTAAGATGAAGTAAAAATTAATACAAGAAATTGGACGCAACCACTAAAAACTGTTCAAAAGAGATTTCTAGCTCACAGTCTTGAAAGAGGGTTATAAGTAACTGCGTTCCATTTTTTTTTCAAACCTATTCGATACTCACTTTGCACATGCCTGCGACTTTTCAATACATAAATTTTTCCCAACATTAAACCTAATACTTTTTTTATTTAATTAAATCATTTTCATATTTTCAACATATTAAAAGCTAGAAACAATAAACTAAAGGAATATTGCGCCCCTATAAATATCACATAAGACTCTTTGAGACAATACGATTACTGACAAATCGATTTTTGGCTCTCGAATTTTCATTAACAAAGATTTAAAGGCACAAAAGATCAGCGATCGTTTTGTCTTAAAGAGTGGTAACTTTGTCGGGACGTAGACGGTTGCAAGAGGGGCGTAGCGACAGATTGTTCCTCTGATCCCTCCAGAGGGCCGCCGGCGAGCTGCGCATGCGCCGCAACCGAAAGTTTCTTCTTTTGTGTCATCAGGCCTGAAATAAAAACCATGCAAATTATTAGGAACAAGCATTAAAGCTAGGTTTACATCAAAAGCTAACACAAACTACATTAAAAAAAAAAAAAGACAAAAGTGATCCTTACTCTGCCGAAATGCGTTTCCTGGAAATGGTCGCCGTTTAAATTCCTGTGCTTGGCCAATTTTTCCTTATTCATGGGACTTCCTGCGTTCAAAAGATTACATGTTTTTTTTACACAGCAAAAATATCAAAAAGCTAATTTGTATGGAAAATCTAACTAAGCAAGTTTGTTAGATTTCCCTCTAAAATGCAGAGTAAAAATTACTTTGCCTTATCACCCCAACCACCACAAGTCAAAAATACTTTTTGAAACGCCCTGTACAAGGATGAATTTATGGCATATCGTACGAAATTTAGTAAGGTTATGATTCTTTGGAGAACATCCTGAATGGAGATTTTAAAAATATAACATTTATACAGGGTATTTCCGAAAAATAAAAGGCCTTTGAACTTGAAGATTTTTCTTTCAAACTTAATATTTTTCAAACGCCCTGTACAAGTTATCTGGTTATGATTTGACACTCCACCTACAAGGTTTATTATAAATTATATCAAAAAAGGGTAAATACAACAGGTGGGGTTTCAATTTATAACTGGACACCCTGTACAAAGTAACGAGATTTGAACATAGTGAATGGAGATTTTTAAAGAGTATAGATTTTGAAAATATAATCTTTATACAGGGTGACTCCAAAATGTTAGAGGCCTCTAAGCTTCAAGATTTTTGTCAAACTTACTTTTTCAAACACCCTGTAACTTGTGCATTGAATTTCTCTAATAAAATACTAACTTTGTACAGGGCGTTTGAAAAAGTAAGTTTGAAAAAAATCTTGTGATGAAATTCTTGAAGCTTAGAGGCCTCTAGCATTTTGGAGTCACCCTGTATAAAGATTATATTTTCAAAATTTATAGTCTTTGAAAATCTCTATTCAGGATTTTTCAAGAAAATCATAACCTCAATTACAAGGTGTTACATAAACCAATGTGAAATCGTCTTTTTTTCAAAGTAACACCCTGTAACTTGTGCATTGAATTTCTCTAATAAAATACTTACTTTGTATAGGGCGTTTGGAAAAGTAAGTTTGACAAAAATTTTGTAATGAAATTCTTGAAACTTACAGGCCTCTAACATTTTGGAGTCACCCTGTATAAAGATTATATTTTCAAAATCTATAGTCTTTGAAAATCTCTATTCAGGATTTTTCAAGAAAATCATAACCTCAACGAGATGTTACATAAACCAGTGTAAAATCGTCTTTTTTTCAAAGAAACACCCTGTAACTTGTGCATTGAATTTCTCTAATAAAATACTTACTTTGTACAGGGTGTTTCAAAAAGTAAGTTTGACAAAAATCCTGTAATAAAATTCTTGAAGCTTAGAGGCCTCTAACATTTTGGAGTCACCCTGTATAAAGATTATATTTTCAAAATCTATAGTCTTTGAAAATCTCTATTCAGGATTTTTCAAGAAAATCATAACCTCAATTATGAGGTGATACATAAACCAGTGTAAAATCGTCTTTTTTTCAAAGAAACACCCTGTAACTTGTGCATTAAATTTCTCTAATAAAATACTTACTTTGTACAGGGCGTTTGAAAAAGTAAGTTAGAAAAAATCTTGTGATAAAATTCTTGAAGCTTAGAGGCCTCGAACATTTTGGAGTCACCCTGTATAAAGATTAAATTTTCAAAATCTATAGTCTTTGAAAATCTCTATTCAGGATTTTTCAAGAAAATCATGACCTCAATTACGAGGTGTTACATAAACCAGTGTAAAATCGTCTTTTTTTTAAGAAACACCCTGTAACTTGTGCATTGAATTTCTCTAATAAAATACTTTGTACAGGGTGTTTGAAAAAGTAAGTTTGACAAAAATCTTGTAATAAAATTCTTGAAGCTTAGAAGCCTCTAACATTTTGGAGTCACCCTGTATAAAGATTATATTTTCAAAATCTATAGTTTTTGAAAATCTCTATTCAGGATTTTTCAAGAAAATCATAACTTCAACGAGGTGTTACATAAACCAGTGTAAAATCGTCTTTTTTTCAAAGAAACACCCTGTAACTTGTGCATTGAATTTCTCTTATAAAATACATACTTACTTTGTACAGGGTGTTTGAAAAAGAAGTTTGAAAAAAATCTTGTAATAAAATTCTTGAAGCTTAGAGGCTTCTAACATTTTGGAATCACCCTGTATAAAGATTATATTTTCAAAATCTATAGTCTTTGAAAATCTCTATTCAAGATTTTCCAAGAAAATTATAACCTCAACTATAAGGTGTTCCATAAACCAGTGTGAAATTGTCTTTTTTTCAAAGAAACACCCTGTAACTTGTGCATTGAATTTCTCTAATAAAATACTTACTTTGTACTGGGTGTTTGAAAAAGTAAATTTGAAAAAAATCTTGGAATAAAATTCTTGAAGGTTAGAAGCCTCTAACATATTGGAGTCACCCTGTATAAAGATTGTATTTTCAAAATCTATAGTCTTTGAAAATCTCTATTCAGGATTTGCCAAGAAAATCATAACCTCAATTATGAGGTGATACATAAACCAGTGTAAAATCGTCTTTTTTTCAAAGAAACACCCTGTAACTTGTGCATTAAATTTCTCTAATAAAATACTTACTTTGTACTGGGCGTTTGAAAAAGTAAGTTTGACAAAAATTTTGTAATACAATTCTTGAAGCTTAGAGGCCGCTAACATTTTGAAGTCACCCTGTATAAAGATTATATTTCCAAAATCTATAGTCTTTGAAAATTTCTATTCAGGATTTTCCAAGAAAATCATAACCTTAATTACAAGGTGTTCCATAAACCAATGAGAAATTGTCTTTTTTTAAAGGAACGCCCTGTAACTTGTGCATTGAATTTCTTTAATAAAATACTTACTTTGTGTGTTTAAAAAGTAAGTTTGACAAAAATCTTGTGATAAAATTATTGAAGTTTAAAAGCCTCTAACATTTTGGAGTCACCCTGTATAAAGATTATATTTTCAAAATCTATAATTTTTGAAAATCTCTATTCAGGATTTTTCAAGAAAATCATAACCTCAATTACGAAGTGTTACATAAACCAGTGAAAAATCATCTTTTTTTTTTAAAAGAAACACCCTGTAATTTGGGCCTTGAATTTCTCTAATAAAATACTTTGTACAGGGCGTTTGAAAAAGTAAGTTAGAAAAAAATCTTGTGATAAAATTCTTGAAGCTTAGAGGCCTCTAACATTTTGGAGTCACCCTGTATAAAGATTATATTTTCAAAATTTATAGTCTTTGAAAATCTCTAATCAGGATTTTTCAAGAAAATCATAACCTCAATTACAAGGTGTTTCATAAACCAGTATGAAATTGTCTTTTTTTCAAAGAAACGCCCTGTAACTTGTGCATTGAATTTCTCTAATGAAATACTTACTTTGTACAGGGCGTTTGAAAAAGTAAGTTTGACAAAAATTTTGTAATAAAATTCTTGAAACTTAGAGGCTCTAACATTTTGGAGTCACCCTGTATAAAGATTATATTTTCAAAATCTATAGTCTTTGAAAATCTCTATTCAGGATTTTCCACGAAAAACATAACCTCAATTACGAGGTGTTACATAAACCAGTGTGAAATCGTCTTTTTTCCAAAGAAACACCTTGTAACTTGTGCATTAAATTTCTCTAATATAATAATTTCACACTGGTTCATGGAATACCTTGTAATTGATATTATGATTTTCTTGGAAAATCCTGAATAGAGATATTCAAAGACTATAGATTTTGAAAATATAATCTTTATACAGGGTGACACTAAAATGTTAGAGGCCTCTAAGCTTCAAGAATTTTATTAAAAGATTTTTGACCAAAATATGCAAAATTGTTAAACACAAAGATAACAATAAGGGATTCTATGGAGATAAGATTGAAGCTCTATTTGGTTATACAGGGTGTCAGGAATAACTTGAAATATGTAGGGATTTTAGAAACCATTCAAGATACAGGGTGAACCAAATAAGTCCTTATAAATAACTCCTTCAAATTCGGAATAGCACTGGATATACAAAACAGAAAAAAGTGCGTATGTATTTTATATTTCAAATTGCCCTATGTAGATTCAAGTTATTCTGTATACCCTGTAGAAAAAAAATCTACTCATAAACAAGCAATGTAATTTTTTTTACACCCTGTAATTTTCCGAAAATCTTCATAATATAGAGTTTTAAGGCAACAAAACTTTCTACGTAATTTTGACATATGTATTATCAAGTTACAGGATGTTCCTAAAACATATTTTTTGAAAGTTATTTTTAGTAGTAAATTAGTGGATTATGACCATCACCTGAATCAACATAAATAAAAATATCCCAAAAAAAAAACTCACCAATAAAACTGAGTAGTACTGGCAAAAATATTAGCCCATGTGCCGCTCCATACAGTACAATCCCAAGATACATCCTGAAGTAAAAAACTTTGAAAATCTGCGATTTAGCAAAGTACAGTACAATAATTCCTCCAAACTTCGTCAAAGTAATCCCCGAAAATATCGAACTGCCCATTTTTGCTAGGGAATCAGCAGCTCGCTCCACTCTAGTAGGTTTCACCGACACTGAAAAACTGTGCACCAAGTGCGAGCAAAATTCCACACTTATTCCAACCGCCATTACAAGATTGACCAGAGAAACTGCATTGAGAGTTATGTGCCACCAGTACATCAACCCTCCAAGATTCACCAAAATCATCGTAATGGTTATTAGCACTACAATACTGGAAAATATATCCAGGCCCATTAGTAGAAAAGTGGCCAGGAATATTGCTAACAAAGACACTCCAAGGCTTTGCAATGTATCTGGCCACATTGTAAGATATTGTTCGTAGAATACGTAAAACACTGAATAAGGAAATACTTCGACACCAATCTAAAAAAATTATTTCATTATAATATAAAACAATTATTGTTAATAAATATAATTCTTACAGTTTTAGTAAGATTGGCAGATATCACTCTAGCAGCCCGCATACTCTCATAATAATCAGCAGAAGTTTTCAATATAGTGTGATAAGACATAAAGTAGCTGGCTCCTACTTTAGACAATTGCGTACTGTGATTGGTCTCATAGTTGACGCCTTGGCCGTAAGCTGCGTGGCCCGCTTTAGCGCAACTTGCATCAGGATTGTCATTTAGGAAAAATGAAACGTAATGGTCAAATTGTTTTTCAGACAGTGGACGGTTGGTTGTTGAATTAAGTGGTATGTTACATTTTTTACAGGAGGCTAAAACATGATATTTGTTAGATTGATAATGTATATTGTATTTACTTACAATCTTCATGTGGACAAAAACTGCCATCAGCTTCGTGGTACTTGCAGCATTCACTAATAGCTGACCAATCGAAATAATCGTCCAACCAACTGCTACTGGGCTTGGCTATGAAAGTATTCTCAGGTGTTTTACTAGCCATGTAAACTTGAGTAGTGAGAGAATCCAAGTCACAATATTGCCCTCCGCAAATTAAATTTTGGTCTTTATAATTTGAGTAGTTGAGGCCGTTTTTTACAACAAAATACATTGGAGGTCCAATGCTTAGATAGTCTTTTAAGGATTTGAAGTATTTTAGGACAAATGAGTCTTCGGGCATGGAAAGTTCTTGATCCAAACCAATTTCTATGTGTGGAACAACTGCTATGGAAGAACAAAGCCAGCCGAAGAAAACAACCATTACCAAACATCTTACAGGCTTCTTCATTATTAGTGGTACATAAATAGACTTGAAAAATGTAAATAAAAGCCCTTCTTGACTTGTGAGGGCATCTGGTTCGTTTTTCTTAGAGCCTTTAAGGCAACAAAAAATATCAAACCTATATATATAAAAAATTCATTATTATTAAAATCTAAATGCAATATAATACAGTTTACCTGTTGGTACTTTGTCTGATTGTATCCAGAGACAGCAAGCTAACAAAACAAGTGATTTGCAGTAAAAAGTCAAAAAGCAAGGCCATACCAGCGTATAAGGCAAAAGCTCTGACTGCAGGCATGTCGCTTAAACTTCCCAAAAAGAAGCAGCAACTTTCTGAGACGCTGGTCAGTAACATACTGGGACCGACTTGTCCTAGGGTGCGTCCGATGTGTTGCGCGCTGGTTTCTCCTGGTTTTTTGTGATCTCTTTGATGGGTTTGAACTATAATGAAAATATTAATTTCTGAAGGAACTTTTATTCAAGAAAAGTAAGCTATTCATTTTTTCCCTTGATTTTTCCCAAATAGATTACCGCATTACATTTGAAAAAAAGCAGCCTAAATATTTAAAAATTCAATTTTCGAAATTCCAGTATAGTAAGTTCCTTCCTCTCTTTACTTTAAAGTTTTCAAAATTTTCCCATTAAGAGTTTTTTGAAAAATCTGGGTTTTTCTTAATTTGTGTTTTTAAAGTTATTTTTTTAAGATTTTCTCAAACTAGGATTTTGCACTGAATCTATTTGAATTTTCAGTAAAATAAGCGTGTTTCCTTCCTCTTTTTACTCCAAAAATTTTGAACTTTTCCCATCAACAGTTTTTTTAAAAATCATCAAAATGTCGGAGGGTGTGTTTTCCTTAATTTGTGTTTTTAAAGTAAATTTTTAACATGTTCTCAAACTGGGATTTTTCACTGAATCTATTTGAAATTTCAGTAAAATGAGCGTGTTTTCTTCCTCTTTTTACTCCAAAACTTTTGAACTTTTCCCATCAACAGATTTTTCAAAAATCATCAAAATGTCAAAGGGTGTGTTTTCCTTAATTTGTGTTTTTAAAGTAAATTTTCAACATTTTCTCAAACTGGGATTTTTCACTGAATCTATTTGAAATTTCTGTAAAATGAGCGTGTTCCCTTCCTCTTTCTACTCCAAAAATTTTGAATTTTTCCCATCAACAGTTTTTCTAAAAATCATCAAAATGTCAAAGGGTGTGTTTTCCTTAGTTTGTGTTTTTAAAGTAAATTTTCAAGATTTTCTCAAACTGGGATTTTTCACTGAATCTATTTGAAATTTCAGTAAAATAAGCGTGTTTCCTTCCTCTTTTTACTCCAAAAATTTTGAACTTTTCCTATCTACAGTTTTTTTAAAAATCATCAAAATGTCAAAGGGTGTGTTTTCCTCAATTTGTGTTTTTAAAGTAAATTTTCAAGATTTTCTCAAACTGGGATTTTTCACTTAATCTATTTGAAATTTCAGTAAAATAAGCGTGTTTCCTTCCTCTTTTTACTCCAAAAATTTTGAACTTTTCCTATCTACAGTTTTTTTAAAAATCATCAAAATGTCAAAGGGTGTGTTTTCCTCAATTTGTGTTTTTAAAGTAAATTTTCAAGATTTTCTCAAACTGGGATTTTTCACTGAATCTATTTGAAATTTCAGTAAAATTAACGTGTTCCCTTCCTCTTTTTACTCCAAAAAGTTTGAACTTTTCCCATCAACAGATTTTTTAAAAATCATCAAAATGTCGGAGGGTGTGTTTTCCTTAATTTGTGTTTTTAAAGTAAATTTTCAATATTTTCTCAAACTGGGATTTTTCACTTAATCTATTTGAAATTTCAGTAAAATAAGCGTGTTTCCTTCCTCTTTTTACTCCAAAAATTTTGAACTTTTCCTATCTACAGTTTTTTTAAAAATCATCAAAATGTCAAAGGGTGTGTTTTCCTCAATTTGTGTTTTTAAAGTAAATTTTCAACATTTTCTCAAATTGGGATTTTTCACTGAATCTATTTGAAATTTCAGTAAAATTAACGTGTTCCCTTCCTCTTTTTACTCCAAAAAGTTTGAACTTTTCCCATCAACAGATTTTTTAAAAATCATCAAAATGTCGGAGGGTGTGTTTTCCTTAATTTGTGTTTTTAAAGTAAATTTTCAATATTTTCTCAAACTGGGATTTTTCACTTAATCTATTTGAAATTTCAGTAAAATAAGCGTGTTTCCTTCCTCTTTTTACTCCAAAAATTTTGAACTTTTCCTATCGACAGTTTTTTTAAAAATCATCAAAATGTCAAAGGGTGTGTTTTCCTCAATTTGTGTTTTTAAAGTAAATTTTCAAGATTTTCTCAAACTGGGATTTTTCACTGAATCTATTTGAAATTTCAGTAAAATTAACGTGTTCCCTTCCTCTTTTTACTCCAAAAATTTTGAACTTTTCCTATCGACAGTTTTTTTAAAAATCATCAAAATGTCAAAGGGTGTGTTTTCCTCAATTTGTGTTTTTAAAGTAAATTTTCAAGATTTTCTCAAACTGGGATTTTTCACTAAATCTATTTGAAATTTCAGTAAAATGAGCGTTTTCCTTTCCTCTTTCTACTCCAAAAGTTTTGAACTTTTCCCATGAACAGATTTTTTAAAAATCATCAAAATGTCGGAAGGTGTGTTTTCCTTTATTTGTGTTTTTAAAGTAAATTTTCAACATTTTCTCAAACTGGGATTTTTCACTGAATCTATTTGAAATTTCAGTAAAATTAACGTGTTCCCTTCCTCTTTTTACTCCAAAAAGTTTGAACTTTTCCCATCAACAGATTTTTTAAAAATCATCAAAATGTCGGAGGGTGTGTTTTCCTTAATTTGTGTTTTTAAAGTAAATTTTCAATATTTTCTCAAACTGGGATTTTTCACTTAATCTATTTGAAATTTCAGTAAAATAAGCGTGTTTCCTTCCTCTTTTTACTCCAAAAATTTTGAACTTTTCCTATCGACAGTTTTTTTAAAAATCATCAAAATGTCAAAGGGTGTGTTTTCCTCAATTTGTGTTTTTAAAGTAAATTTTCAAGATTTTCTCAAACTGGGATTTTTCACTGAATCTTTTTGAAATTTCAGTAAAATGAGCGTGTTCCCTTCCTCTTTTTACTTTAAAAATTTTGAATTTTTGTCATCAACAGATTTTTAAAAATCATCAAAATGTCAAAGGGTGTGTTTTCCTTAATTTGTGTTTTTAAAGTAAATTTTCAACATTTTCTCAAATTGGGATTTTTCACTGAATCTATTTGAAATTTCAGTAAAGTGAGCATTTTCCTTTTGTCTTTCTACTACAAAAATTTTGAACTTTTCCCATCAACAGATTTTTCAAATATCATCAAAATATCAAAGGGTGTGTTTTCCTTAATTTGTGTTTTTAAAGTAAATTTTCAACATTTTCTCAAACTGGGATTTTTCACTGAATCTTTTTGAAATTTTAGTAAAATGAGCTTTTTCACTTCCTATTGTTATTGCAAAAGTTCCAAAATTTTCCCATTAACAGTTTTTTGAAAAATCATCAAAACATGAAACCTACCTAAAAAATGTATTAACTGAAATTTATCTACCATATGTTTGAAATAATTTGTTATTTAGTTTTCCTAGGAATGCCTTTTCATTGTAGATATTAAAATTAAATTTTAAATACATAAATTCTTACCTAATATAAAAATATTGTCCACTCCAACAGCCAAAACCAAAAACGGAATAACTTCAATTATAATCAACGTAGCAGGCGTGCCAACAAATCCAAACAAGCCCACAGAAGAAACCACAGAGGCTAGCACTATAGTGACTCCGCCCAAGCCCAAAGTCACTTTACTGTCAATCAGCAATCGAGAGCAGCTGTTAACTTGTCCCAGTGACACCGCAATGTAGGCAAACATAATCAAATAAGAAACCAAAATGGTTATGACATCGCCTTGAGATTCTCTATCCAATTCATCTTCTATAGATCTTTCACTAGTAAAAGCAATATCCATATGCTCAGAGGCATTATTTGCAATAAAATCTTGCATAAATTGCACAAACAACTTCTCCCACTCCATTGCTGGAGCTATTCTAGACTTGTTATGATAATTATTCACTAAGAAAGTGAGTATTATTGTATTGGCCTCTTCAAAATGAGGATTTTTAGCTAAATTTTCTCCTGGTTTCAAAAAACCTCCAAGTGCTATTGACGGTTCAATGGGGCCCCCATACGGAGCCAAACAATCTGTATTATAAGGATTTGCTGTGCATTTCAAAACGGTGTCCAAATAATTGATTTCAAAACCAGCAGGATCAATATCGGTTTCGTCAAAAGTGTCTACATCATTTTGCCAGTAGCCCCACAAACTTTGAATAACGCACTGGTCTAAAGTAGGCTCATCGCCTGGATTTTTCAAGGGGGTGAAGCAAATTTGATCCAACGAGTATTCAGTGCCTTGTCCTAGAGCTTTGATTTTCTCTTGCAGTTGCAAAACTTCTTTTAGGAAGGTGTCATTGAAGGCAGGCCCAAAAACTATAGTGCCTGTCGATGTAGGATGAGTAATGTTTGATAGATTTCTTGCTCTAATGATGATTTGTTCGTTACGGTAAAAGGGGTTGAAATGTGAATCAAAATATTCTTTTTCTACTCGACTGCGCGAAAATGGCGAGGCCCAAAGCTCGACTGGATCTGTTGTAATCTAAAAAATAATTGTGAAACAAAATTTTTAAAAAACAACAGTTAAGTAGTTACTTTTAGGTATTTAACTCCGTGTCCTAAGCTGACGACGACGCAGGCGCCTATGAAAAGTACCAGCCAGGGGCGTTCCGCGCAAACGGTGCCCCATTTTTCGAAGAATTTTTGTAGGTACGAGTCTGTGTTGGCTCCCAGTCTAAAATAGAATCAAATATAAAAATTTTGTATAAGAAAATCCGAATATTTTTATGCATTTTTACTTGTTGAGTAGTTTTTCATATTTGAGTTAATAGGATTTTTCATGGAGGTTGGAAATGATGTTAAAATATTACCCTATTAATTTCATGGCTAGACTCAAAGTTCAAGTTGGACAAAAATACAAAAAACTGAATGTTTATGAATTTTTATTTGTTATGGGCAGTGACGGCTCGTGACTATTTCAAGTGAGGAGGCTAAAAGATTTTAAAGATTTTCAGTGCTTTTGAATAGATCGAAGTTTAGTTAAGTTTAGTTAACTCCATAAAATGTGTACATAATTGAATCTTTATTGATTTTGTAGGATTTTGAGGATTTTTAAAAAACTTCACGTAATTTTTAAAGATTTTAGATTTATGAGATTTTAGGTGATTTTAGGGAATTTAGAAACGGTTTTTATGGCGTTTTTACCAACTAATTTACGGGAGCCTTAGCGATAAATATTTCATGGGAATTCTGCGAAAATTTTTGTTAATTCCATAGAAATTCCTCAGAATTTCACTAGAAAATTTTATGGAAATCCTCGAAATTCTATTCAAATGACAAATTTGAATAGAAAAACAGAAAGTCCTAGAAAAATAAACACAAAATTTCATAATACTTTTCAGAATTCCACCATAAAATTCAACGGAATTCTTGAACAAAAATTCCTCGGAATTACAGTAGAAGATTTCATGAAATTTCGACAGAAATTACGCAGAATTTCACAAAAATTTAATTCAAGTTTTCGGAATTCCACCGAAATTTTTCGTGATTCCATGGAAATTCCACGAAAATTCTGTTTAATTTTGAGGGAATTTTTCGGTTTCAATATAATTTCACTGGAATTCCACAATAAGATTTCAAGGAATTCCATGTAGGTGTAATTCGACGAGAATTCCTTGGAATTTGTCCAAGATCGAACACAATCCTCCAAATTCCCCATAAATTTTTCCAAATTCCCTATAAATTCCCCAAGTTTTTAATAAAGAATTCCAAGGTGGATTGCCTCTTGGAAAATACAGTCTCACACTTTCAAAGTTTTCCTGGAAAATTAATTGGGGGAAAAGTTGAAACTTTTTGCATATAAAGAGGAAGATTAGAAGCTTATTTTCTCAAAATTTCAAATTTTTCCAGTGGAAAATAATAACATAAAGAATCTTGGAAATCAACCTACAAAAACTGAATTAGTTGAAAATACAGTATCACACAATTCAAAGTTTTGTGAGGAGAAAGGTTAAACGCTGATTTTCCCAAAATTTCAAATTTTTCCAGTGAAAAATAACAACATGGAAAATCTTGGAAATTAACCTGCAATAACTGAATTATTTGGAAATACAGTCTCACACATTTCAACGTTTTTTTGGAAAACTAGTGAACGGAAAAATTTGAAACTTTTTGCATGTGAAGAGGAAAGTTAGAGACTCATTTTTCCATAATTTCAAATTTTTCCATTGGGAAATAGCGACATAAGGAATCTTGGAAATCAACTTACAAAAGCTGAAATAATTGTTAATACAGTCTCACGCAATTCAAAGTTTTCCTGGAAAACTTGAGGGAAAACTTATTAAGGGAAAATTTTGAAATTTTTTGCATTTAAAGAAAAAGGTCAGAGGCTTATTTTCTCAAAATTTCAATTTTTTCTAGTGGAAAATGACAACATAAAAAATCTTGGAAATCAATCTACAATAACTGAATTAATTGAAAACATAGTCTCACATAATTCGATGTTTTCCTAAAAAACAAGCAAAGGCAAAAATTTGAAACTTTTTGCATGTGAGGAAAAAGGTTAAAGGCTCATTTTCTGTGACAAGATTTCAGATTTAGAGCGATTTTGAGGGATTTCGGTTGATTTCGAAGGATTACGGGTGATTTCGAAAGATTTCCGGTGATTTCGAAGGATTTCGGAGAATTTCAGGTGATTTCGCAAATATTTTAATTTAAATTCAGACTGTTACTTATTTTTTCTACTTGCGTGCGCAAAGTAATTACTTTGCGCACTCATTTGCGTGCGCAAAGTTGAACTTTGCGCAAGGAAACTCTTTGCGCACTCATTTTTTGTTACGCATAATTACCATAGTTATACTTGATGTTTCAATGTTTTGATGGTTTCTGAATAAACTAATATTCATAATGAAGGGTTTTAGTTGATATTAGCGCTCAGTTAACATGATGTTTCCTATCAAAGGTGTCCAAATTGGACCAGCCTGTACTGCTAGGAATTTGTACAATTTTTGATATTTGAGAGACTCTCATGAAAATATTCTAGCTGGTATTCTAGAAATTCCAGAAGATGTTAAAAGATTTTTTAGGATTTTAATTTAAGACATTCTAAGGAATTCCAATAGATTTTAAACGATTTTTGAAGATTTTGATTTGATTGATTTTTCTACTACTGTAATAATTCAAAGTCTACTTTTTTAAGATATTCGTAGAAAAAATATTGTTCCTAACACTTGCGCAAAGTGTCTTTCCCGCACTCAAAGCTTATCCGAACTCCGCTTCGCGTCGTTCGTCTAACTGCTTTTTCGTGCGGGAAAGTATCACTTTGCGCACTTGTTAGGAAAATAACTATTATAAGTATATTCAAAAGTGTATCAGTAAAAACTGAAACACGCCCGCGTTGGCCGATTTATGAATTTTGAGCCAATTGCGAGGGATTTTTGGGTTTACGGAAAGATTTTTGAAAGATTCCGAAGGGATTTCGGAGTGATTTCGTGAATTTCGGACGAATTTGTGACACGATTTCGGGGAGTGATTAACCTCTCGAAGATTTCATCAAAGTTCTTTGGAATTCTATTAAAATTTTAAGTTATTCCATAGGAATTCCGCGAAAATTTCAAGTAATTCTATAGAAATACCTTAACATTTCATTAGAAGATTTTATGGAATTCTTGGATAAATTTTTTACGGAATTACAGTATAGGATTTCATGAAATTTCTTGGAATTCCACTAAGATTTCAATTTCAAACTTCCATATTTTTTTTTTTTAATTTTACTAAAATTCCTCAAAATTTTAACACTGAAATATCCTGGAATTTCACAAAATTTTCATAAAATTCTTCGGAATTTCATTGACATTTCATGTAATTTCTTAAAAATTCCTCAGAATTCACTAAAATTTTATGAGAATATCCACGTTCATAGCCAAAAATTTCTCGAAAGTCCAATGAAACTTCAAGGAATTTTTCAAAATTTAATTTATTTTCATAAGGACTTTTCGGAATTTCACTGAAATTCTCTTTTATAAGCCAGGAATTTCTGGGAATATTAATGAAGTTTCAAGTAATTTCTTAAAAATTTACCGAAATATATTGAAATTTCATGTCATTACATGAGAATTTTTCGGAATAGCACCGAAATTCTATGTTTTCAGCTTGAAATTCGTCGGCATTACTAAAATTCAGTAAAAACTGAAATTTCATGTTGGGAATTTCGGTGTAATTTCATGTAATTGTTTAAAATTCCTCCATGTAATTCATTTAGGATTTCGTGTAATTCGATCGGAATTTCACTGAAATTTCAAGTAATTCGATTCGAGAGGAATTAAAATTTAATGTGAATTCTATGGAAACTCCGCAAAAATTTCACATCTATTTCCTTTTTCAGAATAACATAATTATTCTACCGAAATTCCACTAAATTATGGAATTCTGAGACTTTAACAGATTTTTGGGGATTCCAAAGGAAAGGATATTTGAACATTTCAAAGGAAATATTTTTCAGAAATGTCAATGATTGGGTTTAAAATAACCTATAAATCGAGATTTCTTAAAAACATATGGCAACGCTGCTCATGATACAACAAACGCCAAAAAATTGAAATATCAAATATCAAAGTAGGCCTTGGTTTTCTTGACAATCGATATAAAATGGCGTCTTTTTGTTTCAAAGATTACGATCCGAAGGACCAAAGTATTGAAATCAGTTGACAATGAACGGGTTCGTATAACTCCGGCCCTTCGGGCTTGTATAACCTCGGACCTTCGGGCTCATGATTAAAATAGTTCCGGCCTGTCGGGCTCGTATAACTCCGGCCCTTCGGGTTCGCATGATTCCGGCCCTTCGGACTCGTATAACGTCAGCCCTTTGAGCTCATAATTGAGATAACCTCAGCCCTTTGAGCTCATAATTATTGAGATAACCTCAGCCTTCCAGAATCGAGATTCGAAAAAAAAAACATATAGAATTTTATTTTTAAGTTAAAAAGCTTAAATTTTAATAAAAGACGAGAAGACCCTATAGAGTCTTATATTTATAAATAATGTATGCAACACTGCTTATAATACAACAAACGTCAAAAAATTGACCGGTCCCCAATTTGGCTACTTTCTACGTATTCGCCGAGGCTTATGGCGTTTCCGATTGGTAGATTTGATGCGCACTGAGTGTATTTGCATCCTTTTAATCGACGTAGAAGAAAAAGTCAGAAATAGAAAAAATTGCACGAGTTCCGCACTAGATCTACCAATCGGAATCGCCATTACTCTATTTGCCCATGTGGTTTTTTTTTTAATTTTGACAACTTTTACCTTTTTTTTAAAAAAAAAAACAAATGTCAGAAAACGATCCCCAAGCTCCGAAAACCCTAAAATAAGAAGTTTCATCAATATATGTCAAAAACCAATTGCCTGGCAATGCCGAACGTCTTTTTTGACATATGTTAAAAAAAAGGTACTTCCTACGTATTCCCCGAAGCTAAATCTATTATATGTCCATGTAGGTTTTTTCAAATTTTGACAGCAGCTGTCAATCTCAAAAAAAAAAATTATTTTGTTTTTTCCAAAAAACAAAGGTTATATAACAAGTCGTTTTTTAGTGGGTTTTAGAGTGAGATTTATGTAACAATATGTAGCAACAGTTGGTACAAAAAATAAAATTCAATTTCCCGTCGGGTTTGGAATTCGAATTTTCGAATTTTCCCGGTTCCTGATTGGTTTGGGGATTTGAATTTTGATTATTCCCGGCTCTTGATTGGCTTTAAATTTTGAATATTCCCGGCTCTTGGCTTTAAAAAAACCTATAATCTCGGACCTTCGAGCTCGAGATTTAAAAAAAAAAACATATGGCAACACTGCTCATGATACAAAAAACGTCAAAAAATTGAAATTTCAAAGTAGACCTTGGTTTTTTTAACAATCGATACAAAATGACGTCTTTTTGTTTCAAAGTTAAGGGGGCAACATTGCTCCCATGCACACGATACAAAATACAGAAATCGGATTTAGACTACAAAAATAAACCGCACATCAGAATTTGCTGAAATTTGGCATAAACATTCCTTGATCGATTATCTAGAGAATAGTGCAGTTAGATTTTTCATATTTCGAATTTTTTTTTGGCCTATATTGTGAAAATGAACTATTTCCCAAAAATAGAAATAACCACGGTAAAAATTGAAAAAATAAGAGCACTATTCTCTAGATAATCGATCAAAGAATGTTTATGCCAAATTTCAGCAAATTCTGATGTGCCGTTTTTTTTTGTAGTCTAAAATCGATTTTGGAATAAAATTACAGATATTTTGGCAAATATAGTGCTTTTTTTCGAAGATGGCGCCACCACTTAATTCGTGATGTCATAATTAGGCGTTTTCGAAAACCCCGAACCGTTGGAGCAGCAGCTGATGTAGGTTGTTCAACGTTTCCAAAAAAGCCTATCGACAACAGAACCTCTTTCTCACCTTGTGTATTTGTTTTGTTTTTTATTATTGATGGTTTATAAAATAATAGACACAAAGCATGCTGTGCCATTAGTTTCCATTGAAAATAAATAGAGTATCTATTTTACGTACCTAGGTATTCATAAAAAAATTGGATCGTGTTTTGTAGGACAAAATGTCTTTGAAAAAATAAAAAGCTTCAATAATAATTATTAAAATGTATTTACAAAAGGTGGAAAGTGCTAAAATTAGAGTTTTTCCTTTGTGTTCTTGCATATTAGTGCAATAATAATATCCACCAATGCAGTAGAGCATTCCATTTAGGTATCTGGCGATTTGCATTTCTTTTACTAGCTCTTGGATCTTTTACCAATATCTGAAATTATGTAAGACTCCTGGTAAGATTATTTTTTCATTATTCCTCCGAGTATTCCTCTATTTGTAAGCCCATTCATGTGCCAATTGCTTCCTGAAAATCTCATACCTACCACAACTAAACATACCACAAAATCAAGCTCTACAACAAAACATCACTTTTACAGAGTAGAACAAAATTTGAAATCATACCAGGCATGGAAATACAAATCCCTCCATAATCCCATTAGCCAATCAGTGCGAACTGAGTGAAAAAAGTTGCACTGATTCTGTGAATTGAAATCGCTATAATATTTAAAATGCTTTCATCTTGGCGCCATTTATAATTTTTTTTAGAACTAAAATATAATTTGAAGGGGGGGCCGTTGCGGCCTTAAAAAATAATAAATAACAGAAACAGAAACCATCAAAACTTGAACCCAAGCCAAAAATTCTAGGTTACCTTTCTCGGTTTTGTCCTCTGCTTCTTTTTATTTTAGAAATTGAATTTTTCAAAACTGACATTTTAAAAGCTAAAGTTAACTTGAGTGTTACAAAGTTAACTTTGAGACATGTTTATAAAACCCACCCTAAATGTTCCAATTTCTTTAATTTCTGTTTCATCTGCACTAATTTTGTTCTGTTTGGGAGATGACAGATGAAAATTACTGACATTACTGTATTCCTTTTAATACATTGAGTTACACCGAACTGTCTGTTTTTTTTTAAAAGATAATTCCCAAGTCAAAAATTTAGTATCTTTGTTGGCAACACAAGCCTTTTCTACATACAAAATTTGAAAGCATTGACAATTTTACATTGCATTGCCAACATAATGTCATTTTGACTTTTATCTTTAAAAAAAAAAACAGATTTTAGTTCATTCAAGGACGAACCATAGTTCGTCTGTAAAGTCATGAGTTTGAACGCTGGCTAGAAGCTGCGTCTATGCTTACGTCAAACTATGTTCAATATGACGTTATGAGTTTTTCGCGAAAGCGTTTGTGTTCATGAAATCATGAGAGTAGTCGTCACAAAAATTCGGTTTCTTTAATATTAACATAACCTCAAAGGGCTTTTTGCATCCACCGCAAATTTGGTGCATCAGGGGAAAGGGGGATGCACTATGAGCGACTCGAGTGCTTAAGGCACTTTTAAAAGGAACATTCAAGCTTTTGACATTTAGCAGCTCCGAATAACTCAACGGGTAAAAGGAATACAATACAGTAAATGGCTACGTTCACCAGAACCAAAACGGGTTGTAAACAGTTGACAAATACCAACAGAATATGTTGAATAAACTCTTGGTTCTACTGAACGATTCAACTTTTCAATGATAGAAAGTCACCCTCTGAATATCATGTCATCACACAAAAACCCTTTACACGTCGCTCTGGTTTAACAAACCGCAACATACCGCTCAAATTCGAGTGGTAGGTATCCATCACGTCACTTTGTAACCGGGTTAGAAAACGGTATGTCATTTCTCTATCCAGCTTGGCGATATGGTTACGTTTAACGGTTAGAACAAAAACAATAGAAAATTTGTAAACAACAGAGAGCGGGAAAATTGTGACTTGTGTAAACTGAAATATTACTTTGTGTTTTGTTAATATTTTAAAGTTTCTACCTGCCTATAATCAATTGACTAACATGGAAACAATTAAAGTTAAAATAAATAATAGGAACATTTTTTTTTTTCAAGATACACCGGAAATTTTGGTGCCGTTGCTAGAAGGTAAATCAACCTATCAACTATTATAAATATTTGACAGGTGGTTGGATTGCTTAAATTTTAAAATAACATTTTTCTAACCGTGTCTCAAGTTAAATGAATCACCCTGTATTTAATCAAAAAGTGGCAAAAAAAGTCTATGGGAACTAGAACGGGCGCTGGTGATGTCTATAAACCAAAATTTATATGGTTTTTTGTATATGGTTTTCTAACCCATATCTTCTTGGTTATTTTATTCTTTTTGCGTTTAATTTTGATTATTTCACCAATTACAACACCTCCCGCGGCAATTAACTGTGTATCGGTTATTTTGCTATTGATTACTGTCACGATATTTTTTGGTACGTGTAGACACCTCACTTTCATGATAGGTCTATCGAGGTGACTATCATGAAAGCACTTTCATGAGAGTTATTTCACCGTGAAAACGAGCCTTTAGATTTTCATAAACTATCATTTGACATTAACTTTGAATTTAATCCATGATTAAAAATTCTAATTAAATTTAATCTCTGGTTAAATTCAAAGTTGATGTCTAATGATAGTTTATGAAAATCTAAGATAGGAATGTAAAATTGGTTTTTCTCTAAGATTAACCGTTTACGTTTTAAAGCCTGTCAAAGTTGCAAAAAATCAATTTTCGACTGTCAATATTTCCAAAAAAATTGAACCTAGGTATAGAGTGAATCACATGAAATCTGTTCAGAATTTTACATAGAATCCAAATATGCAATCATATACAGGGTGTCTCTCTTAAAATAAGCAAGTTGACGTCTACTTCCGGTATAATCGGAAGTGCCACCATCTTGAACATATTTTAGCCGGGTTGCCCCCATTTACATTAGTATACTGTCAAATTTTCTGCATACAGTTTTTCACATATAGTGTTCCCGGTGTGACACCCTGTATATGAGTTCATAGTTGTAAAGAGTCGAATTTTCTGATTTGAAATATATATGCGGTTTAACTACTTTTAATTGAGCCGTTTTGAAAAAATATTGGGGTCTAAACTTCAAGAAAATAATACATTGAAACGCATCAGCTCTGTTCCAACCGACATGGAGAACCGTTCTAGAATGGAAATCTACTTTTGTATTTAATTTTTTTTGATATCTCTTCGCATAACTTCTATAGGAGGGGAGTCAATATGGAAAGACCCTGTACAGTACTTTTTCTATTGCGCTCCCTAATGGGTTAGAGTCAATGGGGGTTGGAAATAATGTCAAAATTGTACCATATTCATTCTATAGCTATGTAGATTCGGAGTCAAAGTTAGAAAAAAATAAGAAAATCTGAATATTTATGCATTTTTGTTTGTTAAGGGTAGTTTTCCATATTTCGACGGGGTTTGAGTCAATGTTTATACAGGGAAATATCCAATTCTATGATTTTATGTTGTCTTTCGAATAATTATATTTTTGATTTAAATTTATTCTCACCTTTCTATGAACGACGACGGGGCATCATATTCTCCAGGAATCTTATTGATAGAATGCGTGTCCATTTCGTGACCAAGATCCGACGTAATACCTAGTAAAAACAGTCATTGATAAAAAAACCTACCAATTTAAACTTTTTTGAAAAAATGATGAAGTTTATTTGTAATATAATTCATTCGTACCAACCTCATACATTTTAACCAGTAGAAAAACAAAGAACAAATAAATTTTTGTATTTACAATTAAAATTTAGATGAAATATTTATTTCTTCTTGGCTGGCCTTGGTGCTCTGAATGTGATTTGAAAATAAAAAAAAAAAACAAGCAATTTTCGTGCTAGCAACTTAAAACTATAATACAAGATTAGTAACAGACATGCTTTGTTAATAGTTATTATATAAAAAATTTATCTGGAATAACATAGTTGTATGGAGGTAGTTGTTTGTAGATAAGTAATAGATTGTTTGTACCAATGTTGTCATGAGACAAAAAGATTTAGTGAAAAGAAACAATAGTAAATCATTTATCTTGACCAAAATTATAAAGAAAAGTTAATGAAAATGAGAGTGATTGATGAAACACGTACTGGATCGGTGGCTGCTCTGTAACGGACTGTCCTCGCCAGCACTCGCCTCTCCTTGCGCCATCGCGTGATACTCGGCCGAAGCGAGTCGCCTGCCGACCGCGGCGCGCATCTCTTCGGACCCTTGACCCACCAGACCAACTACAAGAGATAGAAAAACACACCCAAAACTTGTAAACCAAATTTTGAAATCAATATAAGAAAGAAAATCTTGGTTAATGGATTCAGGATTTTCTTACTTTTGTTTGAAAAAAGCTAAAGCAAAAATATCAATAATTCATATTTATAGAAATTCAATATTTTGTTAAGTGAAATTATGATGATTTAATTGCCCAGGATGTAAATCAAATTAGATATACATAATATGGGCTATTCCTCGAATTGTATAATTATTATTACCATAAAATAAATTTATTATGTTGTAATTGATGGCCCATGCTATATGCATTTAAAAAAAAAAAACATCCAAATACCCAATTAATTAATATTGGTTAATTGAAAATAAAATGTATTAGTAATTGGAAATAAAAATCACCACCCCATAAGTGTTGCCTTAAAAATACTATACATCAAAAGCGCACATACATACAAGACACTTTTTCAAATATTGGACAAAAGCCACAATTTTAACACATCAATCGTACCTTGACTAACATCTGCGTTAGCTTCCGATTCAATGACAGGGACCACACACTCGGGCTCATTTACCAGCCTGACGCCTGTTGAAAATGTGCTCAGAACTTTATTTTGGTGTATTTTGTAGGAAAACTTTTACATACAGTTCGGTTATAGTTCAGAAATGAATTTGACTCTTTGCTGTGGCCTGCCTGTAAGCCAGATTTGATGTTATTTGATTATTTTTTCTGAGGTTTCAAATTGGTTAAGGACCAGGATTGGTTCAAAAAGCAGTCAATTGTTGCTGGAAATTGATGCATTCATACAACCTTCTATGGAAGATTTTATAGGAAAATGTCTAAATTAGGAAACCAAGTTTAAAATTTTTTCAATTTCAAATTTCTTCAATGCAAAATCATAACATGAGAAATTCTTGAAAATCAACTACATATTAAAGTTTGAATTTGAAAAAATACATGCTCCTACATTTTCATTACTTTCTGAAAAACTAGTAGAGAGAAAATTTCGAAATTTTCAGAACTTAAAGAAGATAATCAGGAGCTTATTATAGTAAAATTTCAGATTTCCCCAATAGGAAATCATGACATGAGAAATTCCTGAAAATCAACTTTTATAGTTCCACCAATATTACTATTAATCTGTCATTGCCTAACTATTTTTGTAATCAAAAGCCATTGAAATATGTATTAACAATTCACATACATATTTTTGACATTAAAAAATCTCAAGCTAAAAATTGTATCATCAAAATTGGAACTCAAAAAAACGTCAAATCCCGACCTGAAACTGCAGCCAAACTGTATGTAAACGTTGAATTTTCGTTTTGAATGAACCCGAGATTGTACTTAAGCAAAATGAAAATTCACACAAAGTGATTAATGGTGATCCAACACATACCAAAATTCAATTTAATATAACTTACCTAAATCTTTCCCTGCGGGACAAAGTAAGACCACCATTAGGAACATCGAAGATCCGACAAGGAAAACTACAACCATGAGGAAGGCCATACCATCGAAACCAGCAATGTCAAATGGTTGAGGTTTGGGCGGTTGCGGAGGCGGCACCGGACAGCTGGCTTCGCAGTCCACACAACTACAAGCTGGAGTTGCAGCCTGGAATTAATTTTAATCCAGAGTTAAATCTAGCTAACCTAGAACTTAGAGGTAAATATTGAAAGTTCAAAAAGTTTTAATATGTGGGAAACTTTTTGAAATATCTAACTAGCATTTTATAAACTTCAATTCGATAGTACAGTACAATAATCCAAGATATTTAGAAATTATTTTTGGGTGTTTGAGGCAAAAGATTGCTAAAATTGGACGCAATCAAAATGTCATATTATTAAAAATTACTGAATAAATCAATATGTAGCCAAAATAAATCCAATCTCTGAACTTTGTAATAGTCATTACATAGAAATTTAGCTCATCAACCAAAATAATATATAATTTCATTTTGATAATCAGCGGATTTATTGTTCAATGACTAACCATTAAAATTTGTGCGCCTCATACGATTCTTATCAGCACAAAAATTGCAAATAATTTCCGAAAAACATCCGTTCTTGATTTGAATTTGTTTCGAACCACAAAACCATAATTATTGAGTAATTCCACAAAAACTATGAAAAGTATAAATATGAGATTTTGTGGTATTATTTTTCAAGACATACTGAACATTCAAAGCAATTAAACAAAGTTACAAGATCATTAGAAAAATACATGATTTTTGAAAGCTGAAATATGACAACCTTGCATAAATAGGGTAATTCCTTAAAAACTATTCAAGATACAAATATGAAATTTTGTGGTCATAATAAAAATTCAAAGTATTTGAATAAAGAATGACAAAGTTACAAGACATTGAAAAGTGAAATATGACAATTCTGCATATATTGGGTAATTCTTCAAAATCTATCTAAGATGCCAATATGAAATTCTGTGGACCTATTTTTAGGACATTGGAGCAAGTCATACTAAAAATTTAAACCCATTGACCAAATAATGACAAAGCTATAAAATTTCTAGAAAAATACATGGATTTTTGGAAAGTGAAATATGACATCCTTGCATAAATTGGGTAATTCCTCAAAAACTATTCAAGGTACACACATAAGATTTTGTGGTACTATTTTTAAGATATTGGAGCAGACAAAGTTACAAGACATTGAAAAGTGAAATATGACAACTTTGCATATATTGGGTAATTCTTCAAAATCTATCTAAGATGCTAATATGAAATTTTGTGGAACTATTTTCAACACATTGGAGCAAGTCATACTAAAAATTCAAAGCAATTGACCCAAAAATGACAAAGCTACAAGATTTCTAGAAAAATACATGATTTTTGGCAAGTGAAATATGACATTCTTGCATAAATTGGGTAATTCTTCAAAAACTATTCAAGGTACAAACATGAGATTTTGTGGTACTATTTTCAAGACATTGGAGCAAGTAATATTAAAAATTCAAAGTATTTGAATAAAGAATGACAAAGTTACAAGACATTGAAAAGTGAAATATGACAACTTTCCATATATTGGGTAATTCTCCAAAATCTATCTAAGATGCCAATATGAAGTTTTGTGGAACTATTTTTAACACACTAGAGCAAGTCATAGTAAAAATTCAAACCCATTAACCAAATAATGATGAAGCTACAAGATTTCTAGAAAAATACATGATTTTTAAAAATTGAAATATGACATCCTTGCATAAATTGGGTAATTCCCCAAAAAGTATTCAACGTACAAACATGAGATTTTGTGGTACTATTTTCAAGACATTGGAGCAAGCCATATTAAAAATTCAAAGTATTTGAATAAAGAATGACAAAGTTACAAGACATTGAAAAGTGAAATATGATAACTTTGCATATATTGGGTGATTCTTCAAAATCTACCTCATATACAAATATGAAATTTTGTGGAACTATTTTTAACACATTGGAGCAAGTCATACTAAAAACTCAAAGCAATTGACCCAAAAAACAAAGATTTCTAGAAAAATACATGATTTTTGGAAAGTGAAATATGACATCCTTGCATAAATTGGGTAATTCCCCAAAAAGTATTCAACGTACAAACATGAGATTTTGTGGTACTATTTTCAAGACATTGGAGCAAGCCATATTAAAAATTCAAAGTATTTGAATAAAGAATGACAAAGTTACAAGACATTGAAAAGTGAAATATGATAGCTTTGCATATATTGGGTGATTCTTCAAAATCTACCTCAGATACAAATATGAAATTTTGTGGAACTATTTTTAACACATTGGAGCAAGTCATACTAAAAACTCAAAGTAATTGACCCAAAAAACAAAGATTTCTAGAAAAATACATGATTTTTGGAAAGTGAAATATGACAACCTTGCATAAATTGGGTAATTCCCCAAAAACTATTCAACGTACAAACATGAGATTTTGTGGTACTATTTTCAAGACATTGGAGCAAGTCAAATTGAAAATTCAAAGTATTTGAATAAAGAATGACAAAGTTACAAGACATTGAAAAGTGAAATATGACAACTTTGCATATATTGGGTAATTCTCCAAAATCTATCTAAGATGCCAATATGAAATTTTGTGGAACTATTTTTAACACACTAGAGCAAGTCATAGTAAAAATTCAAACCCATTAACCAAATAATGATGAAGCTACAAGATTTCTAGAAAAATACATGATTTTTAAAAATTGAAATATGACATCCTTGCATAAATTGGGTAATTCCCCAAAAAGTATTCAACGTACAAACATGAGATTTTGTGGTACTATTTTCAAGACATTGGAGCAAGCCATATTAAAAATTCAAAGTATTTGAATAAAGAATGACAAAGTTACAAGACATTGAAAAGTGAAATATGACAATTCTGCATATATTGGGTAATTCTTCAAAATCTATCTAAGATGCCAATATGAAATTCTGTGGACCTATTTTTAGGACATTGGAGCAAGTCATACTAAAAATTTAAACCCATTGACCAAATAATGACAAAGCTATAAAATTTCTAGAAAAATACATGGATTTTTGGAAAGTGAAATATGACATCCTTGCATAAATTGGGTAATTCCTTGAAAACTATTCAATGTATAAACATGAGATTTTGTGGTACTATTTTCAAGACATTGGAGCAAGTCAAATTGAAAATTCAAAGTATTTGAATAAAGAATGACAAAGTTACAAGACATTGAAAAGTGAAATATGACAACTTTGCATATATTGGGTAATTCTCCAAAATCTATCTAAGATGCCAATATGAAATTTTGTAGAACTATTTTTAACACACTAGAGCAAGTCATAGTAAAAATTCAAACCCATTAACCAAATAATGATGAAGCTACAAGATTTCTAGAAAAATACATGATTTTTAAAAATTGAAATATGACATCCTTGCATAAATTGGGTAATTCCCCAAAAAGTATTCAACGTACAAACATGAGATTTTGTGGTACTATTTTCAAGACATTGGAGCAGGTCATATTGAAAATTCAAAGTATTTGAATAAAGAATGACAAAGTTACAAGACATTGAAAAGTGAAATATGACAACTTTGCATATATTGGGTAATTCTTCAAAATCTATCTAAAATGCCAATATGCAATTTTGTGGAACTATTTTTAACACATTGGAGCAAGTCATACTAAAAATTCAATCCCATTGACCAAATGATGACAAAGCTACAAAATTTCTAGAAAAATACTTGATTTTTGGAAAGTGAAATATGACATCCTTGCATAAATTGGGTAATTCCTCCAAAAATTATTCAAGGTACAAACATGAGATTTTGTGGTACTATTTTCAAGATATTGGAACAGGTCATATTAAAAATTCAAAGTATTTAAATAAATAATGATAAAGTTACAAGACATTGAAAAGTGAAATATGATAACTTTGCATATATTGGGTGATTCTTCAAAATCTACCTCAGATACAAATATGAAATTTTGTGGAACTATTTTTAACACATTGGAGCAAGTCATACTAAAAACTCAAAGCAATTGACCCAAAAATGACAAAGCTACAAGATTTCTAGAAAAATACATGATTTTTGGAAAGTGAAATATGACATCCTTGCATAAATTGGGTAATTCCTCAAAAACTTTTCAAAGTACAAACATGAGATTTTGTGGAACAATTTTCAAGACATTGGAGCAAGTCATATTAAAAATTCAAAGTATTTGAATAAAGAATGACAAAGTTACAAGACATTGAAAAGTGAAATCCGACAACTTTGCATATATTGGGTAATTCTTCAAAATCTATCTAAAATGCCAATATGAAATTTTGTGGAACTATTTTTAACACATTGGAGCAAGTCATACTAAAAATTCAAAGCAATTGACCAAATAATGACAAAGCTACAAAATTTCAAGAAAAATACGTGATTTTTGGAAAGTGAAATATGACATCTTTGCATAAATTGGGTAATTCCTCAAAAACTATTCAAGGTACAAACATGAGATTTTGTGGTACTATTTTCAAGACATTGGAGCAAGTCATATTAATAATTCAAAGTATTTGAATAAAGAATGACAAAGTTACAAGACATTGAAAAGTGAAATATGACAACTTTGCATATATTGGGTAATTCTCCAAAATCTATCTAAGATGCCAATATGAAATTTTGTGGAACTATTTTTAACACATTGGAGCAAGTCATAGTAAAAGTTCAAAGCAATTGACCCAAAAATGACAAAGCTACAAGATTTCTAGAAAAATACATGATTTTTGGAAAGTGAAATATGACATCCTTGCATAAATTGGGTAATTCCTCAAAAACTATTCAAGGTACAAACATGAGATTTTGTGGTACTATTTTCAAGACATTGGAGCAAGTCATATTAATAATTCAAAGTATTTGAATAAAGAATGACAAAGTTACAAGACATTGAAAAGTGAAATATGACAACTTTGCATATATTGGGTAATTCTCCAAAATCTATCTAAGATGCCAATATGAAATTTTGTGGAACTATTTTTAACACACTAGAGCAAGTCATAGTAAAAATTCAAACCCATTAACCAAATAATGATGAAGCTACAAGATTTCTAGAAAAATACATGATTTTTAAAAATTGAAATATGACATCCTTGCATAAATTGGGTAATTCCCCAAAAAGTATTCAACGTACAAACATGAGATTTTGTGGTACTATTTTCAAGACATTGGAGCAAGCCATATTAAAAATTCAAAGTATTTGAATAAAGAATGACAAAGTTACAAGACATTGAAAAGTGAAATATGATAACTTTGCATATATTGGGTGATTCTTCAAAATCTACCTCATATACAAATATGAAATTTTGTGGAACTATTTTTAACACATTGGAGCAAGTCATACTAAAAACTCAAAGTAATTGACCCAAAAAACAAAGATTTCTAGAAAAATACATGATTTTTGGAAAGTGAAATATGACAACCTTGCATAAATTGGGTAATTCCCCAAAAACTATTCAACGTACAAACATGAGATTTTGTGGTACTATTTTCAAGACATTGGAGCAAGTCAAATTGAAAATTCAAAGTATTTGAATAAAGAATGACAAAGTTACAAGACATTGAAAAGTGAAATATGACAACTTTGCATATCTTGGGTAATTCTCCAAAATCTATCTAAGATGCCAATATGAAATTTTGTGGAACTATTTTTAACACACTAGAGCAAGTCATAGTAAAAATTCAAACCCATTAACCAAATAATGATGAAGCTACAAGATTTCTAGAAAAATACATGATTTTTAAAAATTGAAATATGACATCCTTGCATAAATTGGGTAATTCCCCAAAAAGTATTCAACGTACAAACATGAGATTTTGTGGTACTATTTTCAAGACATTGGAGCAAGTCATATTAAAAATTCAAAGTATTTGAATAAAGAATGACAAAGTTACAAGACATTGAAAAGTGAAATCCGACAACTTTGCATATATTGGGTAATTCTTCAAAATCTATCTAAAATGCCAATATGAAATTTTGTGGAACTATTTTTAACACATTGGAGCAAGTCATACTAAAAATTCAAAGCAATTGACCAAATAATGACAAAGCTACAAAATTTCTAGAAAAATACGTGATTTTTGGAAAGTGAAATATGACATCCTTGCATAAATTGGGTAATTCCTCAAAAACTATTCAAGATACAAAAATGAGATTTTGTGGAACAATTTTCAAGACATTGGAGCAAGACATACTAAAAACTCAAAGCAATTGAAGAAAAAATTCAAAAGCTGCAAAATTTTTAGAAAAAAAACATAATTTTTGAAAACATTGAAATCGAGTAATCATTATTCCTCCAAAAACCTATTTTTAACCCAATAAATAAAACCTCAAGAGCATTTTTGGATCTCTTCCAATTGACGTAAACTTACATTTAACGGTTGATTGCAAGGCGTGATGGCCGGATCGGCAGGCGTAAAGTTACCGACTTTATCGGTGGACGAAGTGTTGAAATAGTTGATTTGGAAAGGCACAAAGGGATTGGCCGGACCTGCGGTACCCATAAACTCGAACCATCTGTTTGCTGTACATTGTAATGCACCCCAACTGCCGCACATCAAGTCTAAAGCCAATTGGCCTGTTGATGGTACAGAAACCTGCAAATTGAACAATAAATAATCATAGAATAATTATTAAATATAATTGTTTTTACCTGTTTGCATGAATTATAAGTTTTCTCTAAATAATTCTGGGTGATATAGTAATCGACAGCTGTAACGTAGCTTTTGTTGGTTTGCTCATTAGTTTTGGTCTCTTTGACTGCGATAAATGTAGATTGATGTGGAGAGCAAGTCAAGTCGCATATACTTCTGACTAGATTGAACATACAGCTTGGACACCTTTTCAAAAAATTCGCCGCCAAATTGACGCTCTTATCCAAAGTCATCATTTGGGTGTCGTCGCAACAAACCATCCCAGGATCCATATGGGGGCACCAGCTTTTCAAAATTGCCGCCCCTGTACTGTTCAGCGCTTTTCCGGTACCATTGTAGACGCAGTTTTGACTCAGACCGTTTTTCTGGTTGCATTGTCCGTACCAAATACAATGGCCGGTTTCTGGCAGATCTGTTCGGCTGGTCGAAGTGTTGTTTTGGGCGGTACGGACCTGGAATCATGATAATTTTCATTGTCAGGCCAAGTTTTTATCAGCTCGGGGTTTTTGATTTGTCACGCCACATTATTATCATAAAATAAATAAATAATGCTTAGTTGACTAATGATGGTTAATTTTACAAAAATCAACACAACCCTTAGTCATATTATTGACACCCTTGAACATCTCAAATATGTAAAGTGGAGCAAACTTTTCAAAATTAATATTCCTCTCGAGTGTTTTGTACACAATGCAATTATCCTTGAAAAAATTGCGCATTGAAGGCCCCCTTTATGTATTTTCAGCACGTTTCAGGTCAAAAACAAAATCATTTAATATTTTTGTAAACGGCTTAAGCCTGATTTATCATCTTCCTGTTGCATTTCAAGTCAATTACATTTAATTTTTGTAACCTTAAAAGGTCAGATAAAGCGGAGAAGGTAAAAAGAAAATGTTATTTCTCACAGACTTCTATTTAAGCTCCAATAAAAATTAATTGAGCTGAATTAGAGGTTATTTAGATGGGAAAGATTTATGTTGTATAATAAAAAATCAATGCTGTTATGGTTTTATCATTAATTTATAAGCACAAATTTCGCTTGCGTGATAAAAGCGCCTTTTACAAAGGTCAAGCAATAATTGGGCCCAAACTCCATTTTAAATTTACATCAATTAGAAAAATACAACTAATCAATGGCAATTTATACATTTCCTATAATTGTGACAAAAAAAAAAAAAGTAAAAACAAAAATAAACTGTGACAATTATCTAGGATTATGATACAATCTTATCAGCAGACATTTTTTCACATCATATAGTCAACAGAATAGAAAGTATGTATGTATGTACAAGATTTCCTTTTAAAGGTTAAGCAGTTTTTATTGTCCGATAACAACTATCAGTTGTGTAAATAGTAACAATAATAATTGTGTGTTTTCTGACACTTGCAAGATTGTTCCAAGCCTTGATATCCCAAAAACTGCTGGAAATCTAGAATCCAATCATTGATGACTCATTTAAATTTGTAAACCATTGATAAAGTGATAATACATTGACATTTTATCTTTTTTTTTCCAAGATTAAAGGAATTAGAGTGATTTGTGAGAATTTTCTAGACTAATTAGTAATAATCTGGAAAAATATTTTTCTCCTGTTCACTCATACACACTAAAAAAGCAAGGACTCATTAAATACGATTTGTTTATCTCACCTATTAACTACGTAAAATTCCTTAATTATTTAGTTTTAAACATTTTAAATACCAGTTAAGTCATAGGCCTAAATACGTATAATGGGAGATTGTTATGGTTAAAATGACTCATAATTTTATAGTTACAATAAATATGTAAATTTCAGACATTCCAGACATTCTCAAAAAGGAGTTTTAATTATTCTCAAATCTCAAAGTGGTCAAAAATTAAAAGTTATGAAATTCATTCCACATTTTTTTTTTTTCAAATGTCAATGAGAACATGGGGGATTGCAAAGTGAAAACAATGGATTACAGTGAGAATACATCGGACTACATGTATGTATTATAAAAAAAATGCAAGAATTTCATACTACCAGCTAAAAATAAAAATGATGTTTGAACCTTTATATTCTCGGCTCTAACTGGAAAACCTACAATAATACTGTCACTTTCAAACTCAAAAATGAATATAAAATAGAAATAGAATAAACTTTCCAAAGCTGTTTTATTAAATATAAACCATTACACTCAGCTTTTTGCATGTGCATTCGAACTTTGGTTCTCTGTTATTACGAGTCCTAGAGGTATTTAAACTATTTGACCTGCATCAGTACAGAATCATTTATTTTAATCCTTGGTTGTTTTTTTTTTCCTGTCATATGCAAAACGTTGTATACTGATTTTTCTAAATTAATAATCAGTCGATTATAGCACAGCTAATCGTAATAGCTCTTGAAATCATTATTCATTATTGTTTCCAGTTCTATTTGGTTAGTTCCTGAAAAACTAGAACCGTGTCATCACAGAACTTGAGATATTTTGCTCTAAGACATGCAAACTTTAGACTTTGGACATGCAGCAGATACTGAATAGGTCCAAGTACTGAGCCTTGAGCGCCTCCTACACTAATTTCAGTCTCGTTACTATTTTACCTATTTATATGAATCATCTGTCTTCATTCTGTTTAATAGGTTCTCAATAAGTCATGGCACTTTCCACAAAAATGACAAAATAGTTATTTGTTTTACTAGGCAGAAAAGTACAAGATTTAATGCCGCGGCTGGTGTTTCATAGCCGAGGCTAGGAAACCAGCCGAGGCATTAAATCTGCTTTTCTGCCATGTAAAACATATAATTTTTTCTCCGAATGTTCAAATTCATACATGGACATCTTTTTTATATTTATTTCATTCATTATTATTATCCAAATTATTAAATTATTTTGACAATTGTCATTGTCACCATCAATTTCAAATACCAAATTGAGTGAAATTATTACCTGGAACGTTGTGGACACTGTCACTTTTAATGCCTAGGCAGTGAAAGTCTACTTTTATTGCCTAGGCAGTAAAAATACAACTTTTGATCCTGTCAAGTGTCATTAAAAGGCCGCTTTTACTGACATTCGGAGAAAAACCCATTTTTTCTAGTTTTTTTTTTTTTTTTAAACAATGAAATGTCAACCGTGTCAAATGCTTTTTGGAGATCTACAAATACAGCTAAGACATATTTGATTTTATTCAACTCACTTGATATTCTAACAGATCTACAGTTGCTCCCAACATGCTACTTTTTTTTTGAAACCCATATTGATTTTTATCAATCTCAAATGTTTTTGAACGCCAGTATTATTTCTGGAGGAATTTGCAAGGAATTTGGAGGAGCTTTTGGGAAATTTGTGAGAAATTGAGAGGAATTTGCAGAGAGGAAGTTCAAGAAATTGAAGTAAAAAAACTTTGAAGCTTCACAGACAAAAACTATTCAAGCTGCATTAAAATTATATACAAAGGATTTGTAGAGCATTCAATTGGCTTTATTTCAAGCCTATTTAAATTTCTTATCAGGAGCAATTCTCATGTTTTTCAGGGAATTTGTAAAAGGCATTTGCAAGGAATTTATAAGAGACATTTGCAGAGAATTTGCAAGCAGTTTGGAGGAATTTGCAGGGAATTTGGAGGAATTTGAGTTTGCACATATTCGGGGAGGGTGGTTCACCCCTCGCAAATAGACAACAATTGGCATGAAAAATGAAAGTAGTGAAGAGGAAAAAACTGCACTTTACTACACCAACATGCTTGCTCTGGATCTTAGAAAATTTGGCTTCAAGATTTATGAGCCAATGAAGCTTCTTCTAAAATTTCTCTCTAAATATGAGGCTCAAAAAAAATACAAGCAAATCATGGTGGTACCTAAAGTGCTCAAAAACTCTATCTTTGTCATGTGAGCTGTATTTTACCTCTAAATTTGACAAAATCAAAATAGAAATCTGAAACTTTTTCTTGAAAATTTCATTTCTACAATCTTCAAAATCTTGTCCATGTAAAAAAATATATGACATTGTTCTGAATCTGAGACTTGATCTGAGATATCTGGAAATAGTTAAGTATAAGCAAATCACAAAATAAGTTTAAAGAAAACTAAAATCAGGATTAATAACAATAACCTCAACAATAACTCTTGGATTATCCACATTTTTTTTTAAATCTAGGTATATTAAACAAAAGCGAAATTCTAGGAAAAAATAGTCAAATAATATTAATTAAACAATTATTCTTAGATACAACCTCGGATACAACAGTGCAGTAGAAAAATCAAATAGAGATAACTACTAGTAGTAACATAACTGATGAATGAACTAATAAATAAATATGCAATTTTGTCGTTGAGTAAACACAATACAAAAACTATAACAAAAACCCAATAGAAATTTCCAAAAATCTGGATTTTTTCCAACCCTGAATTCTCTCCAGATTTCCCCAAACTTCCCAAGATTTCCCTGGAGAGTTTTGGATATCTCCTACAGGTTGTACATACACTGGATATCTCGTTGTGAATGACCCATCACAAATACATAAAAAACATTGAAAAAGAACTCATAAAGTAACTCATTACAAATTACAAAATAATTACCTAAATATTCTACAAAAACATCATTTCAAAGATTACAGCTTGATTTCAAAGATTATAAATATATTTCTTGGAATGCACAAGGATTTCAGATGCCTACAATAGATTACACATGATTTCTGATATGATTGCAAGATTTCAATGTAATTCCAATGGATTGCAAGGGGATGGTTGTACACTGATTTCAAATTGTGGTTTACCTGTTGCATGTATTTAGTTTTTGAACAACAAATTACTTTCAATCCTAATCAATCAATCATTTTTGTAGGATAAAATAAACCTGAAGTATTTAAGTAGATCAAGGATTGTAAAATGCAGATTAAACTGTTTTTATGTTAAAACTCAATGAAAATCTAAAAATTCATTTAAAATTACTTTTCGAAAGCCTTTGAAATATATATTTAATTTCCAATATTCCAATTGTCACAGTATATTCCCAGTGAATCCAATACTTTCGAGATTTTATAAAATGAAGTTTTCTTTAGAGGATAAAATAAATCAAAAATAGATCAAAAGCTGTGAAATCTTTTTCAGTTAGAGCCGAGGTTAGAGCCTCTGCTGGAATACAGTTTAGGACTTTTTCTGCTGAAACCCATTCACCTAGGTCTATAAACCTAGCAGCCCCCCCAGGTGGAAAAAAACTTCGGGAACTATATAATAATTAGGTGCTTTTTAGGTGCTAATTAGGGCCTCTAATTAAAAATTAGGTGCTCCTTTAGTTTTTGAGAAAATCAAAAAAAACTAAGGGACTGCTAAAAATATTTTTTCAATTTTTTTCTTTGTATCAGAATTAGGTGCTTTTTAGATGCTCCTAAATAGTCCAAGAAAAAATAGAATTGATTAATTATTAACTGAGTTACAGATTATTTTTAATTATTAAGGAACTGCTGGCTTTACGTTTACTTGTTGGTGTG